AAACCCAAACTCAATACCCAAACCCAAACCCAAACCCAAACTCATATACCCAAACCCAAACCCAAACCCAAACTCATATACCCAAACCCAAACCCAAACCCAAACTCAATACCCAAACCCAAACTCCCAAACGGTTTGGGTTTGAGTTTGGGTTTGGTGCATGCCTAGGTATGGGTATGGGTTTATTCTTTCTAGAGAGCCGTACTTACATCCACGCCCCACAACCACATCCCACACCAACACTCAAGCCATACTCTCTTGTTTTAAAACAAGCTTTTAGTTTAGTAAAAAGTAAAAAACAACGATATAAGCGTTATATCGAGTGGTCCGTTTCGAGCCCTGATTCACATTTTTTACGAGACCTTCTTTCCTTTATAGTCTCGCTTAAAAGGTAGTGCACATTGATGCATTCTCTCGAGTGTTCGTTGCTTTGTTGCTTAAAGTGTGACTGATAACAATATCTCACGTATCGAAAAAACCGAACATGTTCTTATGATTCATTATTTTACGAGCAAAAAGGAAGTAAATATTGGTTTTATTTTGTTGTTTGTGCAATAAATTCTATTAGCAGTAAGAATACAGTTGATCGTTTGATAATCAATTTATTCGAAACAGAATTCATCTATAAATTTCGTTTTGCTAATTCTAATGAGCATGTTTATTTCACTCAGCAGCAATTAGATTATATTCCTTCGTTATTTGCTTTTGTTTCAAATAAAGATAATTTTTCAACAATTCAAAATCAAAATGATGAATATTTACTAAAAATTCCAATTAATTACACTTCGTTCATGATTATTCCTCATTCAATTACTTCTGAACAACCATATTTAGTATTTAATGAATTACCAGAAGATGCAAATGTATTGGATACATTGACACTTTTTAATGATCTTGGCCTAAAATTAAAATCACTTCCTACCCCTCTTTTAACCAGAAAAAAATTAGCTTCATTAGATCCTTCCATAATAATAGCAATAAAGTAAAACATGTTGAATATGAATAAGTGAAGAGCCTCTCTGAAACACGTAACACCGTTGCAGACTTTATCATCGCTGTAAATAATAAAAAATATCATTTACATGATATTCATACATCGGAAAGTATTTTCTCTTTACTTACAATCATTTTTTCCAATGTAAATATCTTGAATTCACGACTTCGTTATCATACATAATCAAAATATGATGACGAACCTGTTCCTAAAAAATTTGAAAATGCATGCGTTTGAAGAGCTGTTTACATATCAGAAAAAGAAAATTATATTCATGATTTTTCACTTTTGTGTCAATACGTCTGCGATTTACGCAGTTTAGGAATGCGATGTCTCATATTCATATAGTCATCATAGACTCAAATATCTGCGGGCGCCCTGTTGTCAACAAGAGAATCTGGATATGAATGAAGCGAAATCAGCTCTATTATGACGATTCAATACTCTACCAAAACGAATTACAGTCGACAAATTCAATAATCGATTTGGTTCGAAAGATAAAAAATACCGATAAATAATTGAAAACAAACTGATGTGGGTGGCAATTCGGTTGTAGTTATATTGAAGAACAAAAGACCTGCACTGAAATATTTAATATTTGTTATTTAAACAGGAACATACTCTATGAAATTTAACATGCATATGAGTCATTGTTTGAAGTAATGTTTTCTCATTTGCCGAGAGAATTTTGCTTTTGATAAGAAAAGAGTTATTCATTTGATGAAAATAAAAATTTCTAATGATGACTGAAACATTTGACATTAGTCACGCAAAATAATGAAGTCGCGTATACATTTCAAAGTTGTGGGGTGTGAGCGTGGGTATGGTATCAGTAAAGAGAAGAGCAGCACCCATATCCAAAAACCAAACAAGACCAACATCTTCACAAACATCAATCACAAACCGACATTGTTGTGCCATTTTGATAGATAATATAGTAATTTTCACGGTAATGTAAAATGCATCTGAATAAAAACAATGATGCATTTATTACTGTTTATGGGAATTCTAAGTTTTCCTATAGAGGATATTAAAATTTTAATTTGCCCTCCAACATGTACATTCATTCATTGATTTATCCGATTGAGGAAGATTTGATCAAGCTTCCTTCTGGCTTTAGCATCGTTGATCATAAACTTCTATCTTATGAATAGAGATACAAGAAAATCTTCATCGACAAAATCGATATAAAAAAAAGCAAACTTTAATGACAGAGTTTCAGAGAATGTTTTTGCATTTTGAATTAGACTTTAAGATTTCCATTGAGCTTTAAACTGATTTTGTTTAGCAAGGACTTGTATCGAGCATCAATGCTGATTTGTTCATCGATATTCATACGATTAATAACATAAGCAAATGAAAAATTGTTTGCAGGTGCAGCGAAACCAATGCTCCCACCCAATCCTAGTAGTAAACAAAAAGATTGAGCATGAACTACATAGTACTGAATGACGTTACCGTTGTGTCCAAATATGTCAGAGCCAAGTGAAGTAATCATATCATCGTAAAGTAGAAAACCCATGCCAAAGTTGATAGGAGTTCCAAAAGTGATATCGATCTCATTGTTAGGTGTATTCGTTTTATTGCTTGTTTCAGAATTTCTTTATTTAAAAATCTTTTGCATTTATCATGTTCTAAATCACCAATTAAAGATGCGTAAAGTTGTGCGATTGATCACGCATTTGTTATTCCATTTATAGCCGGTATTTCTGCTTGATGTATGCGATAATCATTGAAATTACTTGATTGAGAAATTTCAATTCCATCAACAATATCAGTATTGTTTATTTGAGTCTCAATTGGTGAAACACGATATTCTTGTTCTCCTGGTAGACCAACATAAAATTCGATTTGTAATGGATATGTAATTTCATCACGCACGAATTGCCCAAATGTTCTCTTCTTTGGATCAACACGTCGAACAAGTTCACCTGCTAGCCAACCATAAGTCAAAGCATAATAACCATGAGCTGTTCCAGGTGGCCACTGTGGTTCTCGCTGCTCGAAGGTATGTATCATGGCTGTCCAGTTCAAATATTGTTACAATGAAAAATCATCTAATGGTAGTCCAGCCCGGTGGGACAGAATATCGGTCACTGTTGTATTTTCTTTCCCATATTATCCATATTCTGGCCAATATTGGGTGACTAATGCTGAGTGGTCGAGTAGACCTCTCAGGACACAAAGTGCAATAGCTATTGCGACTAAACCTTTTGACGTTGAAAATACATATTGTAAAGTGTAGTGATTGTAATGTTTTGTTCGAGATCGACGACTGGTTGACCTTGATAGTAAATAGCCATGGATGCTCCTAAATTTCGTTCTTGTACAAAATTCTCCTTGAATAAATCTCGAACAAATTCCCATCCACGTGCAGTTGTTCCATGAATGTTAAAATTATTACGGTCGGAACAAATTACCAACGAAATAAGTAAGAAAACGGTCCAACTAGAAGAATACATGGTAGAACGCCTTGTAATATAGATAAAATGCACATCAATGTCAATAGACAAAAAGAAAGATCAACGATCGAATTGTCTAAATATCAAAGTTCGAACAAGCCTAATTCAGGGCCAACTAGTCCGTCATATGGTTGATATATGATAAGATTAGTAAATAGCTATTTTATTGCTATTGCTTCATTCTTCTAGTTGTCCTAATCAAAGTGCACATAACCAAGAATATGTTTTATGTGGTTGAGACAATATCACAAAAGGTATTCGCATTGCAACATAGTGTATTGTCGCCTTGATTTCTTTATATTTACTTACATAGAATGGCACAGCCGAAATGATGCTACTGTTTGCTCAGAAAATAAAAACATAAGACCCCGAGTGTGACATGAAAGCGATGGAGGATGTAGGTGTTGCTCTTCCTTACACTCACACCCACACCAGGATCTGTCTTTCAAGATCATTCTGGAGAATCTTTAAAAGGCTCAGTCAATGAGGATAGAAAAAAAAACGCCACGGTTAGACATAATTGTGTTCTCAAGTGTAATCAATTGATACAGTAAGCTGAAATAGAAACTAAAACCTCTAGACGGATTAGTTGAGACAGCACACTCGATTTTAACAAAACAATTGAGATGCTCTAATTATTATATCACACAGAGATTTTGTCAAAGAGAAATGAGAGGTTTTTGTTTTGTTTTAGTTGATACAACTAGTTTCATTCAATCGGCATCAATATGAAGAGTTCTAACAGTCGCATCTGATACCTTTTCAAGTTGGCCATCGTTCGAATCTGCCAAACAATGCTCGGTGATGAATCTGTCTCCATTAGTCGATTCATATGAGCTGATTGGCTATAGCTCTTTGCCATGTTAATTCATATGATGTTATAATTCAAGGTTGATTGAAAAAGTTTAGCTTAAGAGTCAAACTGGAGTATCATAATGTTTATCGTCACTCAAATATGCTGTACTGGAACATCATCATGATTATTATTGGAAGTATTGATACTGGTCGAAAAATATATCTTTCAAAATTTATGGGTTTAGTCATACAGGATTCCATAGTAATAGGTTTATTAGAGATTGCATTTTGTCAGCGCTCCTTGTTTTTACCCAATTGAGTAATCATTTTCACATCATCAATTTTTTTCCTAATCATTCAGTAGTGCAGAACTCTTCGAAAACGTTTAGTCATGTCTCTTCTCGATGTGTCATCGCTTTTTTCCTTCTATGAGTCACACATGTTCTTTTCCCTCTTTATCAACATTTATTTACTGTGTTGCTCACATGTTTTCATTATCATGCTTTGCTTTTTAAACCGGTGAAAGTTACACCAACGAGCGCATAGTTCTTTTTAATATGCTCCGGATCAAAACTCGCTCGAATTCTATCGACAATCGCCAACAACTGCAAAATTACGTGCCACTCAAGCAAGTGAGTGTCGACGCAACTATACGATCTTTCGCCGCCGATGTAACTATCAATCAAGTATTTCGCAACGATGAGGCAACACCAATTGAAGCAGTATACTGTTTTCCTATTGAAGAACAAGCAGCTGTCTACGCTTTCATAGCACGCATCGATGATCGAGAAGTTATTGCTCAATTGAAAGAAAAAAAGAAGGCTCAGAAAGAATACAATAGTGCTCTTCGGCAAGGCCATGGTGCCTATTTACTCGAACAAGATGACAAGTCGCAAGACACTTTTATCATCAATGTGGGTGCCCTACCGCCTGGAAAAGAGTGTCATATTTCAATCTCTTACGTTTCTGAACTCGATCTTATTCAAAATGGTAACACGATTCGCTTTGTTGTTCCAACTACGATTGCTCCACGCTACAGTCCTGATCAAGGCGGCATTAGTTCTCCTGTTGGAACTACGTCAAAATATGTTCAATCAAGTTCGTATAATATCGAGTTTCACTGCCGAGTAGATAAAAGCGGAGTTTCACGAATTAGTTCATCATCGCATCTGATTCAAGTTGATTTCAATCAACAAGATATGTACGTCGTCGAATTCAGCCAACAAAATACTCATTTGGATCGAGACATTCTTCTAGACATCAACTTGGCTGAAAATCGATCGAATACAATTGTTGCTGTCGAGTCTGGTGCAGTTATGGCTTCATTCACTCCAAACGACGAGGACTGTCGACGTACAATGAACAATGGAGTAATAACCGATGAATTCATTTTCATTATTGATTGTAGTGGATCAATGGATCACGAGAATAAGATTGGATTAGCACGTCAAGCGATGATTCTCTTTCTCAAAAGTCTTCCAGTTCATTGCCATTTTAACATCATCCGATTTGGAAGCAATCATGAAAAACTGTTTAATGAAGCCACGATTGTATACGATGAAGAAAATGCAAGAAAAGCCGAGCAATTCATTAAAAAAATGAAAGCAAATATGGGTGGTACCGAATTGGTAAGCTAGATTACATGCTTTATATTTCATATATAAATCAGCATACGTTTCGATTCTAGTTAGATCCACTTCAATGGATACAAAACCATCCACCTGAACAAGGTCATGCTCGACAAATCTTTCTTTTAACTGACGGTGAAATTACCAACGTTAGTCAAGTTATTGATCTCTGTCGGTCAATGTCGACTTCAACTAGAATTTTTTCTTTCGGTTTGGGTGATTCACCAAGTCGTTCGCTTGTCAAAGGTCTCGCGCGAGCAACCAATGGTCGATTTGTTTTCATTCCGCCCAAAAGCTGCGTCGATGTTTATGTTGGCGAGCAATTACAAAAGGCTTTGCAATCGTGCATAACCAATATTCAAGTCAAATGGAATTTGGGTACATCGGTGATGAGTGTTCCAACAAAAATACCACCCGTCTATACCAATGATCGTCTCATTATCTATGCATTGGCGGATGATTCATCGGTGACATTCGATCACAATTCCAATGTCGAATTGTATACAGATCAACACCCGTTGAGCAAAGCTACAATTGATCACATACCAAATGTAACCAGCGCAGGTACTATTGCTCGACTAGCAGCCAAAGCACTTATTCTCGAATTGCAACATGCCAAAATTCCGAGAAAAAACATCGCTGGTTCGATGCAGCCACGATTTCAACATCTTCAATCATCGACAACAACCGACCATGAGAAAGAAACACTGAAAAAACGAATTATCGAACTATCGCTGAAACATCAAATCCTCTGTCCATACACGGCGTTTATCGGAGTAGAAAAAAGAACCAATGCAAGCAATGCCGAAATGGTCTTGCGTGAAGTACCGAGTCAAATTCCCGCTGATGATCAACATTTGCAAATAGGACACTCAGCGAACTACGCTCCTACTTCGAATATAATACAACAGTCAGGCACAGAAACTCAGTCCATGTCAACCGAAACTTTTTCATCATCGGTTGCATATATGACGCAATGCTCGACGATGAATGATTCGGATAGTAGATCAGGATCATCATCATCGGATGACAGCGATATATTCTATGACAAAAATCACTCAATATCCACGCCTATTGGATATTCTGCAATGTCGTCTAAGGGAGCCATAGAATCAATCACTTCAACGTCATCAGATGAGGATGCATCCGAGTGTCGCCAAAGTTTGCCACCTGAATTGCTCGCCTGCTCCGTAAAATCAACTTCTATGGTTCATTCTGCAATGTCGGGTAAGGGAGCCATAGGATCAATCACTTTCACGTCATCAGATGAGGATGCATCCGAGTGTCGCGAAAGTTTGCCAACTAAATTGCTCGCCTGCTCCGTAAAATCAACTTCTATGGTTCATCGATCAAGCAGCTCATTGTCATCAGATAGTGATGAAGATTTTATGGTCAAAAGTTCAGCAGCTCCCCAGCGCATGACATGCTCCAAAAGTCAGTCTCGTGCAAGCAATAGATCAAGTAACTCATCGTTGTCGGAGAGAGATATGATTTTCAATCAATGCTCTTCAATAGTTCGGAAGAAGCATGATACCTTCTCGTCTTCTTCACATGAACAAGATGACGATGATAGCATTGAGGAGAAAGAAGAGACGTGGCCGACAGATGATCAAGATATTGTTCGCTACTTGATCAATAAACAAAAGTTTGATGGTGTATGGGATTTGGATGGGAACATTATTGAAAAATTGATAGGCAAACCTCTGATGAGTTTCTCATCATTAAATAGCAATGTTCAAGTTCTTATATCAGCTATTGTTATTATTGCACTGGAAACGCGTTTCACTTCACACTCCACTATATGGCATTGTGTAGTGCAAAAAGCACGCCAACGTCTACTTGATTTGCTTAACCGTGATAGAAACCTACTTGATTCTTTATTGGAAAATATCCGTCAACAAATTTGAATGTCGATTCCCTTGACTTTACGCGAACAATATCATGACTATCGAACTATAACAAGAATGTGCAGATGCACATTAGAAAAGCAAATGTTCATAGTCTGATATTATTTTTTCCTTTAATTGATTTCATTTGAATTAATTATTTTTAACAAAATTATATATGATTTTGACAAGATTAAGAGTAAATGAATAATTTATCTTCAATAATTGAATGTTTGTTTTGCTAAAGAAGCATACATTGTCATGTTCAGCACTCCTTTTTGTCTTTAGAATTTAAGCGCTACTGGTTACAGTAGAAATCAAATAATAAACATTTGTATACATTGACTACAAACTTGTGACACTTTAAGTCAAAATTTTGTTGTATGTTTACGAGATTTTAAGAAATCGCCGTAGCTTTGGAAAGCAGTCATGATCATATCTTTTGCTACTGCGTATACTAGAAAATAACCTTCTCCGATGTTCATTCAAAACTTGCGCAAAATAAAAAATGAATAATAAAAATGGTAGCAGTAAATAATGCTTAAGTGCCTGCGATAAATTTATGTCTCTTTTTCTGCGAGTTAGGAAATCTTGCAGCCATAATGTCTTTCAAAGTAATGCATCAATCAATCAATCGTTTATTTCTTTCCGATGCTTTGCCAATATTCTTGCTGTTCTAAAGAAACGATTGATTTTGATAGTTTGCAGTGACATAATTCAATAAATAAAAACTTCCACTAATTGGTACAGCTTTCGAGTATACCAACACATAATCAAAATCATGAATTAATTTGAAGATGTCAGTCTTTTCTCCAGTCATGCTGCATCAAAAAGGAATCGAACACCGTACTAATTTTGTGTTGAATAGTATATTGGTGATCTTCGATCCCTGACTGAGATAATTGTCAAACTAATAATACCAAAACAATATCGAGCTTTGAACCCAATGCATAACTGACAATTCTCCAATGCAACGCAAACGTTCTACTATGTAGATCAATAGGAAAGTGTTCGTCAACAATTGATTGCCACTTAAGATGGCATTCTCTTCGGTACTCTGGTCGGATAGAAACAATTTTGTCAAAATGTATATCGCAAATATCGAATCGAACAAAAATATATTTTAGTAAAATTCAAACTACTGCTCGATCGAGTTTTACTCGGAAGTTTGAGTCATCGGTCGAATTTATGTCAAACAGTACAGTTATCAGCCATTGATGAATATCATTCTGCACGCCCATATCGATATAGCAAAAGATACTCGCATTGCACTCGATACACTCTATTCTTTTTGATGCCATAAATATTTCAACGACTTTTGCTCAAAGGAAATTACATAAGTCGTTGTTGTCTGGGTATTTACGTACTGCTGATCAGAGACCGAAAGAAGTCAGAAAAATCAGGCTCATCAATTCAAGTCGAATCGAGTCGAGTCGAGCTCCCGAGTATCGACTAAAAAAATATACCTCAGTCACTATTGATCATAATTTCGTTTCCATGTAAGCATCCGCAAGTTTGTGTTCTTTCTTACCGATCTCCACAAATATAGCTGTCAGATTTCGAAAACATGTTCTCTTACGAGTCGCACATATTACTTAGGTTTCTCAAAAATCTAGTCGACGAACATTTGTGGATGTTTAAATGATTGATAGCTTGCTCACTGGAGTGCATGACAATTATGCATGTGAAGTGAGTAAAATGTTTGGAAAGAGGGCAGTTGAACATAATATAGAATAACTATTGAGGGAGTTTGCGATTTGATTCGAGCAAAAACTTTCATAGTAGAAGCAGGCTAAAACTAAACATGAAGCGCCAAAAAAATTACAAACTGCTATTCTTTTACATTCGACTGTACACATCAATCGAAATATAATTTCAATCCCTTGCTAGTATCACCCAAGCAAAATATCATTTGAAGTGTCTGAAGAATCGAGTTCTTCATATTTGACTCGACTCAACTCGGTTTCGGTTTAGGATTCCAACAACATTTTCAATTTGAGAAGATTCATTTTTAGAAATGTTACCATCTTGACAAATAACTTGCATCAGAAACTTATGAATTAGCCTTTATTGAGAAAGAAAACTATGACATTTCATCCTACAAATAAGCATCAGCATGTTTTGCATGAAATTGCTCATCGATCTATTGGACTTGGAGTAATGAAAAGACAGGCGATGATTACCAACGGAGATAATCCTAGTTTAATCTCTACTTATTGCTGCTAATGAGAATCGACTTGAACACTGTCAAAAGCAACTTTTTACCATGTAATTCAAAAGAGAAAATACGTATTGATGATTCTTGTTTTGCTGATTTCATAAAATCTGTTTTTTTCCCTTGTTGGAAAACCGCATCGGACGCATAACGTAAAACTTCAACTCGCCTTTATGGATGAACTAGTTCCAATTTCAAACAGGAGAACTAGTATCAGCTAATAGGGTCACCAAATTAAATCTACTAATTACTTTGTTCGGTAGTATTTGGTTCTTTTCTCAAGGCATTTTAATTATATCATGTGGGTGTGGGTATGAATGATTGTTTGACCGCCTCACCCTCATGGTGTTTCATTATGATGGCTCGATTACCATGTCTTATCTGAGAGAAAATATCTTTTGGGAACCGCATAAGTTATTAACCAAAAATATTATATGATAATGCACTTTGAATACTAAGAAAAGGTAACTCATTGCCGATAATAACTCTCACAAAAAAAATCATGGTGCATATGCATTGCCTCGTAGGGATTTTACTGAAAACTTATCTATCAAAATTGGATTGATTGCAATATACGTAAATAGATTTTTTCCATGTGCTCAATGCTTTGTCTGTAATGGATATATTTTATATGTGTTGTTATAGGACCTTTAGCAAATCTATGCAATTCCTTTTTTTAATCAATATTTTGGAATACAGGTAAGTCAAATAAGATATGTCTTAATGAAATATAATATCCGCAGTGTCAATATTTCCGCACTGCAGAATATCATATTATTTTCTCACTTGAAAACTCAGATCATGTGCTCAGAAGTGATTGCGTATCAAGTTAAAAATCTTCATCAAAGAACTAAGTCTAATGAAGACCTGGCGCAATACTTGCGAGAAACCTTTTTTAACTTATAAATATTGCAAAAATTCTTGAATAAATGTCTGGTCTGAATGTATTCGAACAGAATGTGATAGGAAATTCTTTTTTTGCTTTTGTTAGATTGAACATGATCTTTACTTCGAAAGCAATTATTTCATCGACTACTGTTTATATACTAATATCAAAATCAAGTTGTGTTTCTTAAAAACTCATGAAAAACATAGTATACGTTTCTTCAGCTCAACTTTTGCTTTGTAGAAAAATAAATCAGTATCACGGCAAGAAGGTAATTTTCTAAATTGACTGTGAAAATTTTGTAAACACTTGCTATGCATAAAAGTGATCTTGAAGTTCAACGATTCATTATTTTCTTCTAATAGTATGTTACTTATTTTAAGAAATTTGATCATCTATTGTTTGAAAATCTTATCATTTATTGCATCTCTTTTTCATAAGCAGTTAAAACAAGATTGACTACGACTGAGAATTATTTTCAGACAAGAAAAATGAATAGAAAAATTTGACGCAAATATTTTCCTGAATCTATATTTAATTGTTAAAACTGGGAAATCTTCTGTTGTACAAAATTTTGAAAGTTTATGCTAGCGAAATTTTCAGAGATTAGATCTTCTCTCTAAAAAAAAGTAGGTTTGATTCAGTGTTTCTTTTTCCTCCAAGTAAAATTTAAGCAAATACACAATCTGGACATCATTTTAGTCTCAAAGTATATCCCATTGTTAAAATAATCCTTTTTTTTCAGAGAAAAGCTTATCTAGTCTGCTTTTTCATAATTCTTGAAACATCATAGTGATTTTATTACTAATACATAAGTAACAGTCGGCAAATATATCCTTTCAAAGAAGAGATCATGCAGCATCTAAATAAAAAGAACCAACCTTATGTCATCTCCGGTTCGAGTAGACTGAGTCTGAAATTGATTTACGAAATTTTGCAACACTTGCTAAATTTTTTTGTCCAAATATTGTAATCAAATCCAGTACACTATATTTGATGGCACAGTTTTTTTGTTGTTGAGAACACTCTCAGAGACAAGGAGAACAGAAATTACTATAGAGAAATACGACAATCTTTTCAATGAAATCACACTGCGTCATACGGGAAGATTTGAATTAAATCTGTATCAGCAATATTAATAGAAAGCGTACTTAAGAAAATTATTTGAAGCTGAAGATCATTTGAACTGTTCCGCATGCAAACTTCAGGCTTTCACAAAATATTTTACAAAGAACATTGTATTTTTCCAAAGTAGAATGAAATGAATTCCAAAGTGATTTCATCATCTGATATACCTCAGTTAAGAATTTTAGAATATACACTATCAATGAAATGCATGAAGCATTAGCTGATTCTATGATGTTTTTTTAATCTAGCTATGCTGTATGCGGTCTTTATCATTCGACGAGATTGAATGATGTCACATATCGAGAAAATTGGAGATACGATATCACCTACACTAGATATGCCCACATCTACCACATTCTCGACATGTAGTGGAACTGAGTTTTCGATTCCAAAATTTGAAAAATTGAACTTTTTTAAAAGTTCTTAAGCAAAGCTTCACGTGTATTTGCAAGATTTATGTTCATTTTTGAATTAAATCATACTCAATGTAGATAGTTTGATATTCGATAAATCAACACAACCAACTATTGATTTTATTTCTTGTAAAAAAAATAAGACATAGTATATTCATTTTATTGATTGTTCATTGTCGGATAAATAATAGTTCTGAATTTTTCATGTCAATAAAAGCTTCCCGGGCTTGCAACATATGTCGTGCCTCCTTGAAACTCGTTGTCTTCGTGGTAATGTGGGTTGTCTATGCTTGATGTATATTCTTGGCCAAATTCATATGTTTTTGGTGAAGCATACACTACTTCTGGTGTATACACTTGACTGAATTGATCAGTGTCCGATGAAATATACTCTACTACTGGTGTGTAATCTTGACCAAATTGACCAGTTTGTGGCGAAACATACTCTCTGCCATCTGCATAATAAGAGTCGTGTTCTCCGTGCTCATGATCACCATAATGATAATGATGTTCTTCACGTTCTGTATCACTGTGATAATCGTGATGATTGGTATAATGTATAGAATATGGGCAATCGTCCCTGTGTCGGCAATCATCCCATTTTGAACAGGTGCAATCTACCCAATACTGATGATGGTCATCAACATGAGAACTAACCGGGCCTGATGTCCAGATGTAAAGTGGCCGACCATAGGTAGATGAGAATGATAGTGGCGTCGGTCTGTGCTTTATAAAATGACTTTGAGAGTCAACTGGTTCATGTTTGCTTGTAATGATCATTGGATAGCGCCTGATTGACTGAACTCGATTCGTAACATTTGGTTTGAAATTCTCTTTTCACGATAGAAAATAAGCAACTATGTATCTTTCTAAAGCTATCATACGAGTTGACATTTGAAATTTGCTGATGTGACGCTTATTTACCAGAGATATGACTCCTGTTCAACTATTTTTCTCAAGATCTTTTGATGGCGCAAACTGATGCCGTTTGAGAATGTTCCTAGAACAAGGTAGAATCGAAAGATAAGAGAACAGTCGAAAACTTCGAGAACAACTCCTATTTTGTGTTCTGATTTCTCATAGATAACTACACATATTGGCAACAGGCATATAGTGATCTCTGAAAGTTTGAAGTCTGAACTTTGCTGGACATTATCATTTTAAAATGAGAAACCATTCTTAAAAATACCCGAATATTGCATTGAATTCGAGAATATGGTCAAAATTTGATCATATCTCATGCCACGCAGCTTATCATGCGGTACAGATGTGTAATAGGTCATCATTTTTTAGACTTCTTCAAGTTGATATAATTCAATTATCTATAGTATAACTATTTAAGTGGTTGCCTCTGCTGACAAGTCTTTCACATGTTGATGATTACAGTATGGCATTAGATAATTTCTATTCAAAATTTCGAAATTGACTTACCATCTTTCGACATAACCTCTATTGCCTCTACTTCCATGCCAAAAGTGCCCAATATTGACGGGTAAATAGCCAACATTATGACCTCCTTGGGCTATCTCTGCTACACGTTCGCCCCAGTTCAAAGCTAAACGTCGATAATCCTCGTTTAAACTCGTCAGAAAAGTTTCTTCGATACGATTCAATAGTGCAAAAGCAAAGTGCAAGTCACCCGAACCAAGAATCGAAAATTCGCACAATCCACCCATATACTCGAATGCATCACAACGCATTGCCCAGGCATATCCTGGATGAGGATACCATTCTTTGTAACGTTGAGGATCAATCGGCTTGTTGTGTTTAATTGAATAAGCAAATGAATAATCCCAATGTAAAATTTCATTCATTCCATTGGGACCAAGAAATAGAGCTAATCTAAAGAGTTGTACAATTGGATAACGCTACAGTTCTTGAATTAGCAATTGTGCCCAATCGAGACGCTACAATTTTGTTATAAATGCAACAATTATAAATTAAAAATCTAGATTCTTGTACAAAATTTAAAGAAAAAATTCGATCATCAAAAAATTAATTAAACAAGATATATAGTGATTTTAAGAAAGAATATCCTTTTGTGAACAATGAATCCTATACAGTTATTTAGATCATATCTCACTCTCTATTATATTAATACAAGACTTCAACTTATTTATTGAGATGATCTCAAGTATCTTGAATATATTCGAGTATTGTCGAGTTCGCCTCACAATAAAAATTTTGATCGTCTTGCCTGAAATCGAATATACTATGACAAGAACATGATAATCAGTCATCCTGAAAGTAATAGTTAATGTTTTATGGACTGCGTTTCGTATTCACATAGCACGACTGCCATACATTTCGGTACCATCTTCGAACTATACTGCGAACAGTTGGTATGACAACTCCGAACAAAACTATAAGCTCACATCCTCAATGATCAACGACTCGATAGTTCAATATCAATATTTCCCGCAAAAACTATTAAAAGTCTTCTTATTTTTCTTCGTCTATAGATTATATTTATAAGTCATTAAGAGTACCATAAACCCTATTTATTTAAAGTTACTTCCTGATATTAATTGGCTCTCATATATTCTCAATGCAATTTAATACTGAAATTCTCTACAATCAGATCTGGTTTTGAGTAAGGCTATTGACAAGAGGCTATTTTTTTTTCGTTTTAAAAGTCTACAGTTGCTAATTTGCACAAACTATACTTGAGTTATTAACTACGTACATCAAATTCAATATCGGTATCGATCCAGGCAACGTACTGAATATGTTCAGGTAAATGATCAACGGCAACATTGATTAAATTTTCCTTCATCCATAAAATGGACGGTGCGATCAATTGTAAATGTCGAGAATTATCAGCTTGAGTAACTTCAACTACTTGTTTTGGTAAACCGAAATGTAGTGCTGATTCAAATAAGCATTCCACAGTAAATAGTACGACACCTGATTGAAGCATGTGTTTTTCAAAGTTTCGATATAGATTATACCGAGTTTTATATTTGACAGGATTGTAACAAACTGGAATAACTGCTAATTGTGTTAAATCATGTAATCCATCATGCTCCACAATTCTGGCCATTGTTTTCAACAACAGACTTTACTATGAAATTGAATAATGTCTTTGTAAATGATATTTATACAAGTGATTACTTCTCTCTATAACAAAAAAGTGCAAGGTAACTTGAGTCTTTCGTTTTTCTAGCATGTATCTCAAATGCCACTGTTGTTTTTCACCTATCGATCATTTTCTAAAGATGAAATTGGTTGCTAACGAAGTAATATTCGCCTTTTCTCTTTCACTTTTCTTCATGCAGCTTTGATTATTTATCTTACATGTTAGAACACATGAAAAAATATATTCGAATACGCAGACGAAACATAACTTCAGGTGATACTTGAGCTTTCTATTCTCAAATTTCCCTATTTAGTTAAACTCTCAAAGAGAAATCTTTGTAATTTTATCAATCATAACCAAACTTGATTTGTTTCTGAGAACAGAAAATTTTTTTTTTCTTCGGTTGACTATAATGCAAACACTTCTTATTTAAGTTAACGATTATAGTCGGTTTTGATTTACATTAATAAGTTAAATAGTTTTACATGTCAAAGTTTCACGTTTGACACAGCTTTGGTTGAAGTTCATTATTTGGGAAAAAATGCCAATCAATACTATACTGTGGAAAGAATCGGATCAAAATAAATGAAAGTATCTTTGTAGTAAACAACTACCTTGATATTCGTTTTTTCAGATCTCGTTCCTATCGTAGACAAAAAACTTAAGGAATGCCAGAACCCCTTATTCTACCATAAGAAAAAAAAAACAGTAACTATTTAAGCTTAGCTAAGGCATCATATTTAAACAATAGTTTCAACAAGGCTCAATTACATCTAAAGAAAAATAGTATATTCTCTCTTTTCTGACAATTGAACGTGCATGAACAGCAGAACACAAGAATAAATCACTGATTGTGATTGAGTACTTTTCTGAGGTGAGTGTGGACATTGTTTTTTTTTTCTTTGCCAATAACACTCATACCCTTGTTCAGAAATTAATAGAAAATTTTCATCACATGAAATACAATCTATTTAGTTTAAATCAGCACGTAAGCCTCTATTGACTTTCACTTGAAAAAAGTCGTTTAAAAACAGTATGGATCAAGGTACCAACATAACTGAAGATAAGATATACATCCACACTCGCTGTAATATTTGATTATTTTTCAACTAATATCATAATGATAAAACTTCGATAAGATCTGCTGATCATTTCATGTTACGTTAATGTTAGATGAACTTTTGTCTTCGATTTTACTTGCCTTCTTCATATTCACTTTGTTCTTTTTCTTTTGGTCTTCAATAATGCTTAATCATCTATATCATTTAGGGTCTAGGAAAAGCTGTGTCGGTAGAACAAAAAATTAATACAGTAACAAATTCATCAAACTTTACTTAAGTAATGCTTCGATCTAGTAACATTATTTTTGATCATTCGACTTAATCAAACAAAATCTAAGCGATCAAAACGATGTCGAAGATGGTTAGAATTTGGCTGTGAGTTGAATTTTCTTTTCAACCACATACCCACACCACATTTCATGACTAAATGATATTGTTGATTGGATGTCATCATAGGATGCGATATGAAATAGTATCTCATTGATTTTTGTTTGAAGAAATTCAATCGATTTGTCTTGACTGATGAAAATATCGATCCTATCGAATATTTGTCGAAATTTATTGATTGAATGTTGATAATCTTTGTGAAATTTGACAAAATTTGAATGTAACCAAACGTGTCTGAAATTGATACCGATATGAATTTGCGATAATGACGAATAATACTCATCAATCGAAGTAGTTTTTATTCTACTTGTGAGAGTATTCATTATGTGCTTTATTTTTCCACCAATGTTTCCTTGGTCACATGTAAACTGATCACTTTTTCCTTCCCTTCAGCTCTCATGGTTATAACTGTTGCATGTTCGTTAATGCATTTTTAGGAATGCTTAGGGCAATAGATTTAGTGATCAATCAAATAGATTAAATATAAGAACAAACTGCTAGAAACAAGCTACCATATTATTCTTTTATGCAAATAAAACAGAATGTTAGTTGAACTGAAATCAAAAGAAAAGAAAATTATTCATCTCTTTTCGTAAAAGTTCACTAATCAATCTTCATAAACTCAATCCAACATCTACGGTATAAAATGATTTACCAATTATCATTACTATTAGTGGTATCATCGCGAGATTCTGTTAGGCAACTCATTCTAGTCTATGGTTCAGTCAATGACTATGTACTAAGTCCTTTCCTATTTGGATTTCTATCTCATCATAAATCATTTCTTGGTTGGAAAAATATGCCAATCAAGTGTATTGGTAGTTACAGTGCTCGCTCGGGGTATGGGCGTGTAAGATGCATAGAACATTTCAAGATCGTTTTGAATAGTCAAATTATTGCGATGACTTTTTCATTAGTGTACTATCCTGAATTTTTCCAACTAATTATGACACAATAAAATAGCAGATTTGATATTCTCTTATGATTCTTCAAACTTTTATCGTTTACTCAAAACGCATGTTATCCAAAAATTAAGTTCTGCTACACATCATGAACGAAGTATCATATTTTAGGAAAATATCAATGCATGAGATTCTTCAATCGTCTATCTATTAAATAGATCAATAATAGTCTCGACGAAGCATACGAAATCTCAAACAAATATATTTCCAAGTAGCAATTGTATTGTATGTGACAGTGAAGCGCCTTCTTTATTGCATTTTTCTTGATCTTTCTTTCGTTGGCTTCGATGATATTTTGTAAAACTTCTTTCAACTTTATGTGTATTTCGTATGCAATATAGATTGAATACTAATAGAATCATGAAACTTATTCTACCTAAACATAAGAAAGCTCAATTAAAATTGTCTACTGTACGTTGTTATTATAATATAAAGGAATCAAGTTGATTAAATTAGTAAAACAAAATAAAGAATAAGTGATTAAATAGGCAAGTAGATGAAAGAAAATTAATCAATAAAAAAGAACAGTCGGCTTAGTGTCACAGAATGACATCTGTTGACACTAATTTGATGTTACTATAACATATGCTGTTGTAACGTAAGATCTTCAGTAGGCAAAGTACTGAATATAAAATCATCACAGTTTGCATCCAAAAATATTAATAATTGACGATGGGGATTGGGTGTACGTTTTCATTCTTCTACATACACATCCTATGGGAAAGAAGTCTATCGCTTGAAGGTGAGGACGTAGGAGGTGGCGTGGAGTCTGAAAAGCATGACCTAAAACTTCCACTAAATATTTTCTTCGAAAAATGTGTAAGATCAACATATTGCCAGTCATTAAAAAGAAGAATTCGTACTGTTAAAAACATTTATCATAAAATGTATTGAGTTCACAGAAAACTTCTAAAGTCGACAGTTTCGGTAAACGTTTCTCGTACAAGCAACATGAATCATAAAATTGATTCAAAAAACATTGCCATACATCAAATGATTCATGAAGTAGAACGAATCGAGAGAAATAACTGGGTTTTTACCAGGTAGAAAACAGAGCAGAACGATGTTGTGCAATGACATCACGCATTTCACCAATGATTTTTTTTTCTTCATATCAATTTTCTTTTCAAGCTTCACACAATAAATTGACTCTCAAGTTTGTAAAGTCGTTATCTACGTTTCCACGTATTCTTACAACTATCTTTTAGTCTTTCTCCGCATTGTATTTTTTTGTTCGATATTAGATAAAAGGAATATTCCTGATACATCATTATTCTTGATATTGTATCTAGCAAGAATATTAAATCGTCTAATATCTCTATACATGTCTCAGTTCGATACAATACAAAATACAGGGATTTACTTGCAATCCGCTTCCAGTCGTCGATTGTATCCTCAATCACGTTACCCGCTGACTCATCTATTGGATGAATTCAATCGACAACGTCTCCGATTGAAAGCAACTAGGCATGTTCATCATTTCAAATATTCATCGTTTTTTCTCCTATTGATTATGTTGGTTGGAATTGCTTTCTTCGAACTGCATATTCGAATTTACAATTCTTTATATGGGCCATTTCATTTGAATTTAGTTGATTTTGTTCAACATGTTAATACATATTATAAGAATTATTCGTATGTTTCATGGCTTAATAGAAAAGACTATATTCAAGTTGAATTAGGAGAGAATAATATTTTGAATCCATTGAGTAAATACTCTATCATTAAACAGTATTTTGATCCTGTCTCACGACGTTATCATATTGCTACTTATAAACAAATGAAAAGGCCATCTATCTATGTCAAACTACCTACTCAATCGCAAAAGCGATACCATGCTCGTCTTCCATTTTATTTTCCTTCATACTCGATTCGAACGCTTCAGTGCATTGTAAAAAGTTTACCATCAAATTCTGCTGAAACATATCGAACATGGATCGAAAAATCCGACTATATTCGATGGATCGATGATCGATATACGAAGAATTCGACTGAATTCAACAAGGCTGNATATTGAGGTAGTAAAAAGCCTAAAGGGATTTTTCCCCAATGTTCTTCCTTCAAAAGTTATGGTCGTTTTATTGAATTTTCGACCCATTCCCAGATATTTACGAAAAAATCAAAATAGGGAATTTCGACTTGATATTTCGTCCATAGATAGGCCTAATGGTCCTTAGAATATTCTGAAAGTTTCAGCTAAAAAGAATGTTTCTTTCTTGAGATATTGAATTTTCAAGTGAACTCGGTTTTTGTGACCAATCTGTGGCAAGCGGCTATTTTTTGAAAATTCAATATATCAAGAAAGGAACATTCTTTTTAGCTGAAACTTTCAAGATATTCTAAGGACCACTAGACCTATCTATGGGCGAAATATCAAGTCGAAATTCCCTATTTTGATTTTTTCGTAAATACCTGGGAATGGGTCGAAAATTTAATAAAACGACCATAACTTTTGAAGGAAGAACATTGGGGAAAAATCCCTTTAGGCTTTTTACTACCTCAATATACTCGATTAAATCAGATACGAACGAATCAAAACGAAGGGTGTCATCTGAAAAGGTTCCCTTGTAAGAGATAAATGTTTAGAAAATATAACTAGAATGCCAATAAGTCTCTCTTGTTCTTTGATATATCGAATAAACGATCCTATTCTTTAATGTTCTTATCCATGCCATTATTGACATATGAATAACTATTTTATAATTATGCTGTTTTCATATGATTTCATAATGAAAATAATATAACTTTCAATTGTAGAATGATCAAGTTTTCACATGAAATATTTTTTCCTAAAATAAGAGACAATCGATATTCATCTGGAAGATCATATCCTTCAAATGTACTTTACTACGAAATATTCAAAATAATGACGAGATTAATGTAAATATCAACTAGCACATTTTTCTTTCGTCTTTTTACAAAGAAAAACAATCAGTTTAGTTATGTGCATGTTATTATACTCAACAATGGCAATCTTTGCTTCTAGTCTAAAAGATAAAACAAATGCTTTTTCTCGGATAATGAATAACTAATGTCATCGCTTTCATGTAATTTATTCATAAATAAACTCCTCTGTATTGTAAGTAATCTAAGTAAATTGAGCTCTAACAACAATAAGTGATTAGGTATAAGTTTTTAATATGAAAAAGTCTTACATAAATGATTTAAGAAACTCTTCATGAAAAAACCGAAAATTTTCGAATATCGAAGAACATAGGGATAAATAGATTTCGAATCTTTTTACATAGAAAATTAGACGTTTGTATACCATAGAACAATCCAAAGTATGAGAGTTTGAAGATCTACTTCTAACCAGTCATGGTATTACAGAACTGAGACACATCCTAAACGTACTCTCAAAAATTGACCAATCACTTCTAATATCGTCTAATCATCATTCGCATTGTTGATGGATTGTGTTCAGATGAAATAGACAAATAGTAATTCTAATTTCGGAATAGATATGAGTTTCAATCGTTACCGATATCTGTATTTTATAGTGGTTGAAAAATAAAAGTCAGAAAAGAATCAAATATTCGATTTCACTATTTCAAATCACATCTGTTCAATATGATAACAAAAAAGCACTATCACCTAATTTTATTTCATCCAAAAAAAGATATGGTTTCTTGATTATAAATACGACAAATATTCAAATATAAGATATACGCATAGATGTGAATGAAAAAGAGTAAATTTTCTACAAATGTGCTGATGGAATACGGTGACGACAAACAGGACATATAGCTGTGAGTGACAGCCAATGAGCTACACAACTATCATGAAAGATATGACCACATGGCAGTTTTTTCACTTTTTCATTGACCTTATAATCCACTTGACAAATGGTACTAGAAAAGTATATTTTATAAAAATGAAAAGCAAGAGATTGTCATCGAAACATATTTCGAATCATTTTTTACTGACCATTCAGTTTGATTGAATTGATCAGATTCTTGATCAAAAATTACCATTGGCAAGGCATCAATAGTACCTGGTGTTGAAGGTGGATTTTCATTGGATGCAGGAGATATATTTATTATTCTTTCCTGAATAGAGAGAATAGCAGTCAAATTTCAAATCTTTTAAATAAGACATACGCTAAGCATTGTCAGAAGTGGAACAGTGATCGATGCCGGAAGACAAAGTGCAAGACAGCCTCCAATTGTAAATCCAAGACAACAAACAAGAAATGTAAGAGGCCAGATAATGAATGGAAAAAAAATGCGAATTAGTTGCCATATGAAAAGAGTTTTGTAAAGACTGGGAGCTACTACAGCGCACGATCCACCTACACGAGGTTGAAATAGAAGAACGGCTCCGATTGAATAATAGTAAATAACAACGACAGCTATAGAATAACATATCACATAATGAATTGCTGATAAATAGATGAAAAGTCTTCGTAAATTTGTTAGACGATAAAAAAGTTGATTGAGAACAGCACCAATCACATTAATTCCAATAGTACAACCAGCTAGAATAAGTCCAACGTAGGCAAATGATTTGAGTGGTGCATCGAAATATAGATTCTCAATACTAGTGTATACGCATTCTGATTTTTTAGTCTTAATCGTTGCAAATGCCACAATACCCAAGTAAATGATATTGACAATAATAGGTAAGACAAGTATAAGACATTCTATTATTAATGATCGTCGTATTGGAAGTGAAGGTTTTAGTGGATAAATAAAATTTAAAATGCATGTATTGAAACATACAATACCAAGATAGAAACGCATAAGTTCACAATTATTATTTACTAGTTTTTTCCATGTAAATACATAGAAGAAAGCGATTATAACGACGATGAATTTGAAGAAATGAAAAAAACTACGTAGAATAGATCCTTGACGATATAGACCTGAACTTATCGCCTCGGACTGAGTCATATGATACAATGGCAAGTTTCGAACGAAACAAAGAAGAGTAGTAATAAGTGTGATACTACCAAAAATGAATATGCAAATTGATAGTACGACGAGAGGATTCGAGATACTACACGTTTTTGTACCATAGTAAAGACCAATACAGAGAAGAACAATATCAATGACATTGTAGCATAAACGAAGAAGACCACCAGAACATACACGGTCAAGCTGAGTTAACGTATCAACCCATGTCGAAGACTGTCTGTTATCATCATCAACAGAAGCGGCCGTTCTGTTTGTTGCATTAATTGAATCACTGTGTATGTATGTATCTGTTACACGATTAAATAATTGACTACTAGCACCGTTCGATCGACCACCATTGCTTGATTCCGAAGACATAGTAGATAAGCGAACAAAATCTTTAACAAGAAAAATATCTAGCAAAGTTAATGTTGTATAGACACAGACTGCTTTTTAAAGTGTTAGCAAATAGTTTGTGAAAAAAAAAGTAAAAACAAGTGAGTACTGAAGAAAGAAAAGAAGCTTGAATCAGAATTGTTTCTACATGGACTCAACAACATTTGCATTGTTTATCACACATGCATATATGAGTGAAAGGTCTGATTGGTATTGAAAGAAAAAAAGAGAAAGAAAGAAAAAAGTACTAGACAGACATTTGGCCGGATGATTCATTCTTTGTAAATATACATGTATTTTGCATTTTTTTTTTCTCCAATATCATGTGTAAACGCAATGACGTTTAAGATGCACTGTTACCATCATTTTGTAAAATTTTATCCAATCTGATTGTTTTGGAAACTTTTTACGATGTATAAATTGATTCAAGTCAATTAATCGGATGATAAGATCTTACAGAATTGCACATATAATTCTTGTTTGATCTTATAAGATTCGATAGAAATTGTACGAGAAATCATCGCCTATGAAATCTTATATTAAATCCTACTATAAGGTTCTACAAAGGTCTTCTCATTCCATAAGATGTCACTATTGAATGGTAGGAAATGTTAGATGTCAGTAATGGTCTTTGAAAAGTCGAATAGTAAGATTCAATGCAAGACTTTAGAGACAACGATTTTTCGTATTTAATTATGATGTGATATTTCATTTGATTTTCAAAATCTTACGTCTAATTATTTGACCAGGGTAAAATAAAATATTTCTCCTGTCGTACAAACCTGATGATTTTCTTTAGTAAAACTGGAAGTATGGAAAACAAGAGAATGTTACTAAAATTAGTCAATTACCAAAAAGATAAAGAAGACAAATAACAGTTGTTGATTTTTGTTTTCTATCATAGTTATTTGATAAGAGAGAGATGGATGAGGGTATGAATGAAGAGAAAACCTATAATCGCCCTATGTAATTTGTTGCATTGGGATTATGGAGATTACTAATTTTAATAGTTATGTTTTCAATACTGATTCATATTTTTGCGTAGCTACACGTGCGAAAACTGAATATTTGTATCATGTTCGCTTTGCTGCTGGCCTCAATATTTCATGACATGCTTAATTATTGTTATTGATTNAATTCGTTGATTTGGTTTTGCAGGTGAACCAGTGCCCTAGGGCAAAAATCGAGTAAAACGGTTATAACTCAGCCCCACAGGTGCATGGGCCCAAATCCTCTTAGGGTTATTCTAGTGTCGGAGTCTCTTACTTATCCCCAAAGTATGAGCTCAAAAGCTGTGAATCACTTGGGGTAGTTCCCTCGTCAGTACTTTTCATTGATCCAATCTATTTGCGCCTGTCCTGAACACACTTCAGACGGACTTTAGGGTTATATTCTGCTCACAAGCCTCCCAAATACTCAACATTAATTTTTTTAGATTGCAAGTAATTTTTGATTTCGAACATATGTTTATTATTAGCATTCTATGTCGTATAAGATTGAATGATAATTAATCAATCATCTGAGTAAAAGTGTACTTTTTGACAGTGCCATACTCTCTTCAGGTTGTCTGATAGAACTTTTCGACCGAAAGAAATTCTTCAAAAATATCTCCAGTATTTGCTGTGGGGAAATTGACGTTTCACCTCAAAAGATAACTTTTTTCCTGTTTTGTAGAGGGTTACAAGTTATACGACATATCAGAAAATCAGTTTGAGACTCATCGACATGTCTGTAAAACAATAAATACATTTAAAAAATTTATGCCTTTTTATGTGCAAAAGGATTGGTTTTCAAAAATATGTCCGACAGAAAAAATGAATCAGTATATAGATAAGTATATCAAAGTTGCTGATGCGTTTCAATTTTTAACACTATATCGTGGTACACGTCGTAAGAAAAATTGGCTAACCTATAGTTTGACTAAAGAATAGCTTTTTCTCGTAGATCTCGTTGACGTGGAAGTTTTCGGCATTGCTGATTTCAATGCACAAATCAAGTTTTTAAAAAATTGATAAATTCGTCAGCTTATTGATGATCTCGTAGAAGCTATTTTAAGGCTTAAATTATCCTAAAGTTGATTTTTCACTTCGATTCATACTAACTATCGAAAAAAAAATAGTCGACCAATAAAGGTTATACTAGTCCTGTAGTAATAACTAATTTATATCAGCGTTCTATGTTTCAATGTACTTGACAAAGATTAGGATTTGAATCTATTGTAAAATCTTGCTTTGTCATAACTGTGAAAGGAAAGAAAAGAACTAGAATGTTAACTGATGTGAATTTCCTGAGCATTGTTAAAGTCAGTAAACTATGAACAAAAATGAATGTTTTCTAAATTGACTCTTTATTAATATCGATGATGTTAGAATTTTAGAGTTCTATGTAATCTACTTTTTCTTAGTAACCAGCCATGTTTGGATATCTCAAACCAGCTTGGTTAGAGATTTCTTCATGTTTTTATCATGTCAACGTTAGATTATTTGATTCTGCTTTATTACTATGGTTTATGTATATAAAGTGTAGAGTTTGATTTTAATGAAGCTATCATGGTAATTAGGGAAGTTTATCGGTGAGGCGTAGATTTTCATCTGTAAAAGATAGATTTTTATCTGATTGACCGTCATGATAGGCTTACATTGGCTATTTTACAACAAAATTGTTTATTCAGAATGAGTCATTCGACTTGTTTATGTCCAAAAGCGTACATAATTTGCTTTTCTTTTGTCATCACAACATGGTTATAGACCAGTTATATTATTATTTTTTTTTTCAGATAAAAACACGAAGATAAGTTGTAGTTGTGATAATTTCAATTTCTCTTCTCTTCTGTTACCGAAAGCTCCAAAGTTTTCTTTTTCAAAACAAAAGCAATCCTTTTAATTTTTGTTTTTATTTCAAGAAAAAAAAATTGACAAAGTGAGTTTTTATTTTCGAAAACGACAGAAATAAATCTAGTTTAGTTTCTGAGAAAAAGTCAACTTTTAGTTGTTATGAAAAGGAAAAAGAAAAAAACTGTTGTTCTTATCATAGACTCTTTAACACTTAATTTTCTTTTACCGTGTTCGAGTTTTGAATGCTGTCGACAAATTTAAAGTTGTCATCTACTAAAAATAGCAACAATAGCTTTTCTCTACAATCAATGTAACGAAAAAAATCTGTCATTCAAATTATTCAATGCCATCCAGTCACTCTTCATGACGATCTCCCTAGCTTTCAGGTGCACCTGCGTATAAAACGAAGGTGTTGATGATAACAATTATTTCCTGCTTTTTATGCTTGTGATTGCTACTATAACTATGATTCGTCATTACGCTAGAGCAAACTTGTATATTTCTGTCTCCGATCTTCAGCTCTATTCTGACATTGAAATCATGATCAGTCTTTTTATGTTTTAGTTCAATATATACAAAAATTTACTATTCAACTAAATGCTGGCATACGTCGAGGAATTGAATCTTAGAACAGTAGCGTTCGTTCGTTAGGAAATGCAAGAAACTCTATTTGATATTTTCTATGAAGTTGTATTCATGTTGATACAAAGAATAGCAGAAGTTCTTACTTGATAGTAGAATGAAAATAAAAATAAAAGATAAAAAAAGAACTGATAAAAACATGCTGTTTTAGTATCATCGCATAAAAGCATATCAATTATGTAGTCCATGCAGTTTCTCATACAAAAAAAATATCAATTTTTCAAAACTAACTGACTTACAAACCATTCTACTTTCGATTTAAATTCAATTAACTTATATTAATTTTTACAATTAGCCACCCGTCAATATTCGTAATCCTAATATTTCTAAAAGAAAAGAGTTATTCTCGTGTTTTCATCCCCTTGTTTTTTTTTGTCTTAATAATATGTATATTTTAAGAATTCAGATTATAAAGAGTACTACAAACCTTGTTCGGTACAATACAATAATATTGACTACTTTTGTTATTCTGTGTATAACACAACTAATGGCACAATGTTTTACAACAGAATCTGGATATGATTTTTTGTGTAAATTAATTCTCATTGGAGATAACAATGTAGGCAAGGTACGCTATCATGATTTGACATTCTTGTCTAATATATACGAAATAATTATGTTATTTTGAGTCATCTCTTTTACGTCGTGGCATGCATGATATATTTCCTGAATGCGTAGAATCGACCATCGGAATTGATTTTGATATGAAACAATTCATAATTGATGGGGAAAAGATCAAGGTACGCGTGTGGGTAAGTTCATTATCATCATTTTTCTTCAACTAGATTCATATTATCATATGTAATAAACAAGGATGCATCAGGCACAGATCCTTATAAACATATGATTCGACCTTTTATCCGTGATGTACATGGTGCTTTTGTCGTATTTGATCTAACTGACTTAAAAACATTCAATAGTATTGTTGAATGGATCGAAGAATTACATCAATATGGATCTCAAGAATTATCCATTATTCTTGTCGGTAGTAAATCAGATTTAATCATTCAACGGCAAATAACCCATGATCAAGCAATGACTTTTGCCAGTCAATTCAATTTTCAATATGTGGAAACATCAGCACTCAATGGTTCTAACGTTGAACAAATGTTTATTTCGCTTATTACAAATATTTATCATAAGACAGTTCAAGTCAAAGATACACCGTTATCACTGCCAATAGTCATGACAAATGTTTTACCATCATCATTCAATTCTCAACAAGTTTCTATTGATAAAACTAAAAGTTCATGTGATATATGTGCATCGAAGGAATCAGTGACAATTATGCTATGTCATGGATGTGCTCAACATTTTTGTCAAAAACATTTTTATGAACATCGAGATAAACTTAAAACAGATCTCAAGAAGATTATCAATGAACATGATGAAATTCTACAAGATTTTCATATGAGTCTGAATCATGCATCAAATTCACTTGATAATGACGATGCTCGAGCTCTATTGAAACAAATCGATGAATGGCAAACGAGAACAATTGATGCTTGTTGTCGAACAGCTGATGAAACTCGTGGAATAATTGCACGATTGTTTAGTAAGAAAAAAGAAAATGATATTATTAAAAAGCGTTTTGAAATCTTAAGAAATGAATTAATAGAACAACAACAATCTGAAAAGTTCATTGAAAATGATCTTGAACGATTAAAACAAAAAGTCGAACAATTTAAAAATGATACAATTCAACTGATAACTTCATCTGAAACAATTATTATTCAAACACAATCAATCGATTGGAGAAAGGTTTTCAACATTTCAAGACCATCTAATATTGATCAAATAATCAATCATTACGTATTAGTTATAGGAGAAATAGGAGCTGGTATCTGTCCACACGGTAACTATAATTAAAACTTATTCAAATGTTTCTTATCTCTTAGGTAAGTCGACAATCATCGATTATACTGCCAATTTTTTTGCAAATAACCGTACATTCCGTAATCGTATTTTGAGAACAACAATAAATCCATCTTATGCTTTAATAACTACAAATATGGATAGTTATGTACAAGCAACGATGGCTAATTATTATCGATTTCCTATTGATGATCAAGAAAATATTGTGTTTATTGATACAATCAATTTTAGTAATAATGATACAATTTTGAACAATGATATACCGATTGATTTACTCGATATTGATCAATTTGCTGCAATAATTCTTGTAATTGATGCAAAAAATTTCGATCAAAAATATCTATCAAACGAGATTAAAAAATACATAGACGATATGTATTCATCAACTATAGAAGCATTTCAACAATTGTTTGTCGTAGTGACCCATTGTAAATCATGCACTTTGGAATTCGATCTATCAAAATTTGTTTTACCTGTAAATATTACTATCTTTGGTATGGAAAATTCTGCATATTCATCTGATGAACAGTTACAAACGCGGGCTCGTATCGAAGACGACTTTCTAGCGTCTATGCAGACTATAGAACAGATTGTCAATAAAATACTTAATGGAACTGATCAATATAATTCAACAATGTAAAATGGAATATATACAATCATCTAATGCAGTAATTGAATATAATTTGATTACTTGGTCCTTTATGAGTTAATAAAATGATTCCGAACTTTAATTCTCTGATTTAGCGCCTACTTCACTTTTTCGAATTATAGCTGTGACACAGTAGCCGTCGAAACAGAGAAGACCCGTAAGGGGTGGGTTGGATGAGTATGGGTGTTGAAGTGATTTTGTTCATCGGTGAACACATAACACCTAAATCTGAATCATAGCAGTTTGAACTCAGCGTCAACCTAAATTTTCTGCCACATCTTTTTTTTTTTTTTCGTTTTCCAGATTTGATCATGTGCACAAATATCGTTTATAATCGATAAAAGTTTGTTCGATGTCGGCAACTTTTACACCACCAGACCATGACGATAAGCAATACTAAACTCGAAATAGAAAATTGCTCGTGAACCAACTGCAAGAAATTGTATGTTATCACCACCACCACGTGTACTATCAGATATTGAAATGGATGTAGGTAGGATTGATCGTCATGCATATTCATTATGCTGCTAAACATATTCAAAATAAACAATTCTTTCAACCAAAATTGATGTAAATATATATATATATATGTATGGATTCACTTATCTTATATGGATTGATTGTCTATTTTGTACATTTCACTGTCATCCTTATCATCTTCTGCTATACTGCTACTAATTTTTATTCTCAAGATAATTGTTGAACACTGTTCTCCTTGATAGTTCATGAAGAATAGAATCATGATGCTTTTGCATATGTTTCTCTTTTCGTTCTTTTAAATATCATCGAATAAGTACATATTCCTTTATATTTGTAAAAAAAATTAGCATAATCTCGCTTTTGAATTTCATCAAAATTGTATTCCTTCTTGAAAACGAGTATTAAAAGTTCTAATCCATTGTTACTATCAAAGATCTAATAATAACATCGAAAGAATCTTCTAAAATATCACTTAAATCCTTGTTTTCTTTTTAGTTCCGTGATCAGTGATTAAATCTTAAAAATCACTAAATCTATCCGAAATTCATCTCTCTATGTTCGAATTCATCATAAAGCCCAATATCAACTTATCCACATCTCACTACACAAACTCGGCATGCCGACAGTTACTGAAAAACAAAAGTCAAAAAATAAGATTTCAACTTTTTTTCATCCCCGTTATAGCCATTAATAACAATTGTTTATACGTCATAAGAGTATCTGAGTTCAAGCCATCTTATGACAAACCTAAGCATGATTGAAACCGATTGTAAAAGCCTCAACTCAAACGCCACTTTATGAGGTCCTTAAACAAGGCTAAAATGCATCGTGATAGCTACTATACTAAGAATCTATTTATTTATTCAATAATAAACTCATACTTATATCGATAGGATGAGAACAATTTTATTTAACTTGAAAATTTTTTTAGACATTTATCATTTTTCCATAAATTATTAACACAAACAATTCCATTCAAATCAATAACGTCATTCATTATTTTAACATAAGCTTGTGTTTCTTCATATTTTCCATTGCTATTCAATTTTCCATGCCATTCACTACTATGATCCTTAATTTTGATCGATCGTGGTTTATCATATTCGTCCACTGTTATCTCGACTATTTCGTCATCAACAAGTCTTTTCCAAAGATCATTAGAATATACTGGTGTATAAGGATTAACATTGCTGACACTAATAGTTACATGAGGATATTTATTCATTGAAGAATGACTATCATTACTACCGGCACTATGAACTAGAATTGCTTGTGCATGCTCATCTTCGGAGTAGGCTAAAATTGTTAATTTTTGGGTGTGCCCATAATGTAGTTTATATTTATTCATATTGTCGGATGTCGGATTAAATTCAATCGTGCTATGGTCACAATAAATATGACGAGTGTTACCATAAAATGGAGATGAATGTTCATGAGCACGAAAAAATTTATCTATTAATAAATTCTTCATGTCTTCAGTTAGAAACACCGACACAAAAGGAGAACCAAAACAATAAATGATAGGAAAACATAATAATAAAGCAAATGTGATAAGACTCATAATACCGAAATAATACTGAGAGGTATGATGAAGTAGATGATTTTCACACTTGTGCTTGTTTTATGTAATAAATGAAAACGTAATGAAAAATATGCAGATGCTTTTTATTTCGTATTCTTTTTTTCCTTAAACAAATGAAAAAAAAAAAAACAAGAAGAAAAAGTCACCACAAACATCATATCATTCTACAGGGTTGTGCATAACCTTTTGCTAGGGGGGTAGCGTCATTATTTCAAGTTGAATACCTAATGAATTTTATACCAAATTAAAGAGCGTCGAAAACTGGATTTATTAGTACTAAATAGTAAGAGTTATCAAAATATGTTAATGTGGAACTTACGAAATTTTCGGAAATTTTATGCTTTTTTTACCAGAGAAAATTAAGGAACCAGCAAATTTTGTAGGTAAGAAAAACATTCGATTTTTTCATTATTTTTACAAATAAAGACGCTTTGAAATACACTCATCAGACGCAGTTTTTCACGCTGCATCGGATGAGTATATTTCGAAGTGTCTTTATTAATAAAAATAATGAAAAAAGCTAATTTCATTGAAAAAAATCAAGTGTTTTTCTTGCATATAAAAAAACAAGTTTTTAGAGATTTTTTAGGATTTTACAAGTCATTTTTTAAATTTTTTATCTCAGAAAAATGGCTTAAAAAAATTCTGATATATACAGTTTTGTAGAGCTTGACGAGCTCTATCGAAGCATGTAAAAATATCAAAAGAAAATATCTTACTATATATTTGAATTGCTGGCGCCTTAATTTTCTATGGTAAAAAAAGCATAAAATTCCGAAAATTTCGTAAGTTCCACATTAACATATTTTGATAACTCTTACTATTTAGTACTAATAAATCCAGTTTTCGACGCTCTTTAATTTGGTATAAAATTCATTAGGTATTCAACTTGAAATAATGACGCTACCCCCCTAGCAAAAGGTTATGCACAACCCTGTATATGTATTTGTCAATAATGAGAAAAATCTACAGCTGACCTATTCCCATACTCAGACCGTGCTCGAAGGATCGAAGATCGGCAGGGAGGGGGGGGACGATGTAAGGACGATTAGGGGTTGTAAGAAAGTATCTTCGAAAGAATTCCATAGAAATAGTGTAAAATGTAGAAAAAACTTCGCACATTTCACTAGAAAAAATTGAAAATTTTTGATTATTGGAGGGTGTACACCCCCTGCTCTCTCGGGACCTGCACATACTCTTCATTTTTTATTGCGTACTTGAAACGGGTGTGGGTGTTGGTCTTCTCTATTCACATACCTACACTCCACACCCTAAATTTTCGAAACTTGATTTTTTCCAGAGATCTTTTTGTGTATTTATGTGCATGATTCGACTAAGAACAGGTTTCGAGCTTCTTATACTTTTTCCAAGTAGAAATCAATGAGCTCTATCGAATGATTTAATTAGACTTACCATGGCGGAAACTTTGTTCCCGATGTTCTAAGTATATCGGCATTACACCTTATAAAGCATTTCTTGCATAATATATTATTCCGAAATTCGTTGAATAACTTTTTTTTAAGAAGAGTTGTCTTTGTATATTCATAACTTGTATGACCTTTCGAGGTGCAGTTAATGAACTTCACTTGTTCTTTTAAAAATTTAATGATAATGCTTTTTTCGAATTTTTAAAAATGATAGAGTATTGGTCTTCAATAATATTGGTTACAATCGAATCAAAAACATGTTTTATGTCTTTCTTATATATTGAAGAAAATTATTTTATTATACATAATTATATAATTTGATGAGTATGCTAAAGAGTTTTCATATGAGAGATATTAAAGAAATAAACAATAAATTAGTTTTTCAGCACAATTATTACTGTTTCATCATGATCAGAAGAATAATCGACTTCTGTTACATCTTTACGATCATTGAATAGATATAGATGGCCGCATGAATCGATAATAGTGGTGATAAAATGATCAGTATTATGGTTGATTATTGCTGATAAATTTTAACTAAAAGAAAATGTTTTCTTAATTTTTTTTTTCTTTCTTTTAGAATAATTAGAGTATGCGACATGGAAAATGCAGTTGCTTGATGTTTGTTCGATAGTTTTATTTTAACTAAAAACACATAAACTGCCTTCGTCAATCGAATCACTATTTATTTTCAATAGTAGAATAGAATACATACCATCATTTAATGCAACAATTGAATATAATTTGATTACTTGCCTTTATGAGTTAATAAAACAATTCAAAACTTTAATTCTCTGATTTTTCCTGTTTTAGCGCCTGTTTCGTTTTTTTCCTATTGTAAGTTGGAAATAGAGATGATCCACATCCGTTTTAATCGAATTTGTAAGAGAATGAAAGTTTACTCATTGATTGCATTGTAACACATCATGTTGCTTTTGCAAGCAGTTGATGAGCTAGTCTATATAATTCACCAACGAACGTGTGTTCAACCGAGGTTGTCAATTTTTTCAAAAATTAAGATATGTGACATAAGAAAAGAGTTTTATGACTTTCGATGTAATCCATTTAAAAAAAATTCAACTCTCAATTTTGAAGAGCGTTTTATGAAAAGTCCTAAAAGTAAACATTTCAATCAAGCGTATTCTGATGGCGCAGCACCCAAGAGAGCAGTTGCATAGCCATGGATGTGAGTGTAACTCTTCTATTTAACGACTCCTACATCTAAGCACCCATAATTCTCCCTTGCCTTACACCCATGCACACTTAAATCTCAAATGCATAAATAAACTTGGCGTCATTCTGACTATTGAATATTCAGAGACACGAGCATCCATGAATCAATATTTTTCAGAATTAATCATTGTACTTTATATTACTATTTACCATAATTCTGAAAGAGAACGGAACGATGATCTTGAATTGCTTGAGGTATATTGGCAATATTTTTGTATTTCGATCAACTAATATGCCTGACAATCATACATGCAGTCTTTGTATTTGACAACAACATTTGATTAATCATACACTGTAGGAGGGAATAGAAAGGTTACTTCATCGAAAGAATATTAGTATTTGATTCGTTCTCTTTACAACAGCTATCGTCAACATGACTGTCCATGAAACAGTAGCAAATGCTCTTCATCAATTAGAAACAATTTTACTTGATGGAAATTATCATGACGAGAAGCTGCATGATTCGCTCAATGTTGTTCATAATCAATTACAACAGATCGAAAAAAACTCAAATTCAATGCTGACTGATGAAAAACAACGACTTCTTCTCATGTTTCAATCGTTGGAAGTGAATTTATTTCGTCAATTTCTCATTCAACTCTCATCCAAAATGCCGTCATCTTTTATATTCTCTCTTTTGGATACTATTCGTCTTCAATTAATCATTGATATGGAAACAAATTCGTTGATGAGTGATTGTTACTTTAAAATATCACTTATATGGTTAACAACTGATTCAACAATTAATTATCTTACTCAAAAAACGCTTCCAATATCAAATGAAATTAATATTGATGAACAAGTTTTTAATTTGTTCTGTTATATTGGTTCACGAGCTGTTTATTATAAAACAAGTGGTTCTTCTTCGATGTGTGTCTCACGAAAAACGACACCAAACTTTTTTCAATTAACGAATACTACCGAACGTCTTCTTCGAGCATTTATAACTTATTTGAATGAGTATTTTTTAAACGATCGTCAATATTCAGAAAGTGATGCATTAATATTGAAGTGGTTACTCAATATGGCAGATATTTATGGATTTATTCCGTATTTTGTTAAAACAGGTTATCCTGAGGCTATACTTGAATGGATGAAAAAAAAACGAAATTTCGAAGAGAAAATATCTCTAGAAACATGGCTTCTTGTCATTAATATCTTATATAATTTTGCTCGTCATTTGATTGGTATGAATATATTGAACAAACTAAAAACACTTTCAATTCTTAAAGAATGGAAAAATCAATATTTTTCCGAATTACCATCAGCTGACATGATGAAAACTTTTGAAGAAATTCTTGTTGCTTATTATCTTCTCTATGTACTTTTACTTGAACCGAAAGAAATGAAAAAAGAAAATATGACCAGTATTCAAAATGTACTTGATCATATTATTGAACGAACAATTCAAGCATTCAATTCATCTGAATTTAATTGTGGTCTATTTAATGTTTCTGAATATTTAGCTGGTTTAGCCAAATTGGTTGCTAATGATAAATTTCTTCTATATATTATTTCAAAAGACAATATGTACGAATTATTTATTAGTAAATTTCTAGAATTCAATCATTTATGTACGAGAAATGGTAATGTCGAACCCAATGATCTGCATGGATTGATTTGTGCTTCGCTATATACAATTTTCTGGTCGATTAGTTTTCAGTCAGACTATTATGTGATATTAAAAGAAAATGATGAATTCATTCGATTTGTCATGCAAATGTCCAAAACCGATTCTAACGATGAACATATTATTGCCATGAGACGAGCAGCAAAAGGTATCCTTTTTAATCTCGATCTTGTTCAAATAGATCTTCAATCAATTGATAATACTGAGATAGATTATGATCATGTGAAAGTAATGATTTCCTATGCACACAAAGATACAAAATTATGTCAACAACTTGTTAGTCAGCTGCAAAATCATGTTCGAGGTGATATCTGGGTAGATTTTATCAAATTGAAACCACCATATGAAGATGATTGGGAAGAAATTGCTCGTGCTATTACACAATGTGATGTTGTTCTTATGATTGTTACTGAAAACTATTGCACTTCAAAAAGTTGTCGTCGTGAAGTAATTCATACTGATAAACGTAATAAACGGATTATACCTGTCTATCTAGGAAAAGAATATCAACCTGAAGATTGGTTTGAGATTCGTGTCGGTTCGGCTACTTTTGTACGATTTTCGGATAATAAAAGTGATGAAACAGTAATGGAAACTCTTCTCAATTTGATCCATGCAACAGACAAAACTAAACGAAATCTCGACAGAATGAAATCCCATGAAGTACTAATCCAGACCGGTCAACAACAAACTATTCAATATATAGCTCCAAATTCGATTCTCTCGGCACCAGCAGTCTCACCGTCTCCAAAGCTAATTTCAAATCCAATTATTGAAACTCTAACGACACAACCAGTGCCATATTCGTCGACACCAGACATTATTCCTAGTCTAAATCTGTCATCAGTCAATACAAAACCAATCGAACAGTGGACCAATGCCGATCTACAACATTTACTTCAATTGCCTCCATCGATACTTACTTTATCTTCTGGTCAAGCGTTACTCGCCTATATTCGTCTATTATCTAATGAAGATGCTCTATTCGATGAATATGAGACATGTATGCGTCATCGTGGACTTAGCCGAGAACAATTTGCCAATCTGATTGGAGTACTCATGAGTTTACGTTCTCTACACAATATTGAAGCGACATCGAATCTTCCACCTAATCAATGGACATACGAAGAAATCAAATGCTGGTTTCATCATAATCGTTTATCCAATTATCTATTCGACATATTTACATTTGCCGATGGAACCGAACTTCTCATCTATGCAAACCTAGTTACAGAATCATCCACGCGTATGAATGCCGAATATGATCGATTGAGGTGTCGCATTCAATCTCGATACAACGGACAAGATATTTTTCAACTAGATGACTATGCTCGATTTGTCAATGCTCTCAAAAAACTTCTCATTCAATCCCAGTCATCATCATCATCATTGTCATCGTCCCATACAACACAAGAACCTGCCCAGTGTACTATTTCTTGAATCTTACGCTATTAATGATATCCTATTTGAACATAACTGATCGTTCCTTTTTTCAGAATTTGTAGTCTTTGATCAGAATGAAATAAAGTGTATATTGATAATTCAAATAAAATAAATTGAAAATGAAGCTAAAACATTTTTTCAGTATTTAAGTGAATTTTCAACGGATCTGTTATTCTTCAGTCATCATCAATCCGATGATGAGGGAAAATGATAGATTTGTCGAAAATTTACTTCAATATTGAAATAAAAAATTTTATCTTCATTTTCAATTTATTTTATTTTGATCAGAGAAGTGTGCGTATGGGTAGAGGAAACATGCGTCACGCTATGCATACATCCACATCTACTTCTTGATCAAATGAAAGTTGTACAATTCGATAAAAAAAATAAAATTATTGAATGATCCTTCAACGTTCAATATTGAATTGAAAAAAAGAGCCCAACCTTACAGGCTTCTTTTTTTTTCTTTTCTGTTCTCTTACTCGTTTACTTCTTTTAAGCTTTAATTTTATCATAGCCGTCGTCATCCATAGAGTCATGTTTTTTTTTTTGCAATGAAAACAATCGCATTTTGTGTTTGTCTTTTTTTACTGTCACTCTCTCTAGGAAAAAGCTTTTTGAATATGTGATGATAACGAGCTCAAAAGAGTTAAATCTATTCAAGAAAAATCGATTTGATGAATATAGTTGCATCTGCTTAGAAAACAAAACAAAATGATTTGATATGTTGATTAATGAGTTCAAAACCAATAAAACAGCATGATTCTCTTTCGAAATGGCGTTTTACATCAATTGTTCTACGACCGTCGAAAACGTCTACTGTAGGCAAATAAAGACGAATCGATCATGTTCTAAAGAGTGAGTAACTAGAAACTCAGAATCTGTGCGGATACTATAAGAGCTCCCTCCCTCTCAGAAAGTCGGTTTTTCGAGAAAAACACGATTTCGAAATTTATACAAATTCTGGATGTGGGTAGAACACAGACTACGCCCATATTCTAAGAAGAAGACTTTTCTGCCTTAGTGTTACTATTGCGAATTTATAATTTTGTCAGAGCTTTAAAATAATTCTAGTTAAATGAAAATTCTAATTGCTTTCTTCTCGTTGCACTGCTTCGTTCATTTTTGTTTTCAACAATACAAACATCGTATTCTCTGAGCAGTCTTTGATAAACTCGTCCTGTCTTTCGATATTATTTTAAATGAATTCTTTTCGGAACTTAGGCAATCTATTTAATTCTTGAAGCATGGTTGAAAATCAATGAAATAGCTGAGTTCATTAAAAAAAAGTCTATATAAGTTTCATTTTACGCTTTAAAAACCATTACTCATTTGTAAGATGATTTTACAAGCGATGCTGAAATATAATATCTAAGTTTACTATTAAAAATAAAATCTCAGTCTATTGGATCTCACGGATGCTTCTTAATATCTTCTTCATAATATTCCTCGCTCTCGATAAAAAACATGAAAGGTCGAGTAATAGGTTCCAGTGAATCATCGTGTTCCTCGATTTCTCGCAATCTCTGGGCACTAGGTTTGTGTGATGCATTGACCGAATAGATATTGATTCGATGCGATGAACTTGTCACGTGAAAATTCTAATTTCAGGTGTCACGCACAAAAGTGGGCTGTGTATTACATGCATTGTCAAATGCTCGAACAGACAATTCGAGTCAACTTCCAGCAAGCACTGAAAGATCAATTTTCTATAAGCGCCACGCATGATAATGCCTTAAAATCAGAAAAAAATCACCAATTTAAAGGACTTTCCTTGAACGACATATCATTATAAGAGTATCATAGGAATCTTCATTTCTCAAAGCTTAATACCTTTTGAAAGATATGTAGAATTCGAAAACATCGAAAAGTTATCCATGTCTGTGATCTTTTTTCGACTACTAACAACAATTGTCCTAAATTCAAGTCAATGAGAATGTGTTTTGACAAGAAACTGAAAGAACTGAATTAAAGAGCTTCCGAGATTGATTGGAAACTCCTGAAAATTTAATTTCTTATGCTGTGCCTTAAATCATTTTAGCTTTATTTCATGATAGTCTTCTGTTGATTAAAGTTGATTAAGAGAATAATTCTACTGAGACGTTGATTCATGCTACTCACATAAAATCACAAAAACTTGCTATGAAAATTTTTCGTATTCATGTCTCGAAATATCGGATTTTCTTAGTAAATAAGTTTATATCTTCAATTAAATCTTACGGCTTAAAATGAATATATTACTTGAAATCGTTGTTTGAACTACTTCTCATCGACGATGACAACTCGACGTATTTAAAGTCGCCATAGCTGAGCGGCTACATAGTTCAGCATGTATCATCTATCAGATACTATGTTCAACTGTGTAGAAAATTTCATGACAATCGGACTATTCTTTCAAAAGTTATCGTGTAAATGGATGGCCGGACACACTGACCGATTCTAGAGTGTACTCACTTTTTGAGTACACAAAAACAGATGTGATTTTACAAGGGTGCTCTACCAGGATTCTCCGCAGCTACTTTTTCTATAGAAACGAGAAAACTTACTGTTTCCAATGATGTCCGATAAGAATTGGATTCATTTCAAAGAGTGGCTTGAGTTATAGCAAATATACTATATTTTAATTCAATAGTTTACGTCTGTATTATACTTGATATTCTGGAACAGGTGTAAATCGACCTTTGTAAGTTGTCAGAATTTCATTTGCTTTTTTGCGACGTTCAGGATAAATTTCCCATTCGATATATCTATCACGAGAAAAAGAAATATAAAACTATAATATTACCTTATTAAATCTTGATATATCCATGCCAACCGACTAAGTCTTCTGGAAAGATTTCAGCTGATTGCGGATCATAATTTGCTAAACGCTGTTCTGCGTCTTCATTTATATTCTCTATCTGGACGGCAAGAGTAGACATTTGAAAATTTGTTAATGGAATGGTTTCTTTTTCATCATCTGCTTCATTAGGAAGATAGTGGTATTGTGCGTTTAATTTTTCTTCTCTATCACGATCTATATTCTTTTGTCTTCTATTATTTACAGAGTCATTCAGTGTGTCTTTCAACAGCATGATAGAGATATGATGGGATGAAAGAGACTTCTCGAGATAAATAGAAGGATACTACCAATGAGTTCATAAACCATGATACAATATAAATATGATAAATTGAAGAAAATGTGAATATATATCGAGTAAGCAAAATAATAATTCCAACACCAAATACTTGAACCGGATTTATACATAGCTTCTTTGAAGGAAAGATATTAGTTTTTGAACTGCTTAAATATCTAACTGATTATATAAAGAAGCATGGTAACTTGAAGTCATGTCAGGGGCGCAGCTCAAGGATTTGTACAGGGTGCCCAAGCATTCCCCCACCTTGGCTAAGAAACATCTGGAGGAGGGGGTGAGAGGTACGGGCGAAAAATCTTTCCGAGAAACAAAAATNTATGTTTCGTACGAAAAATTTGTCTTTTTTTATTTTGAAATTATCAAAAAATATAGGTTGAACATATGAGAACATGTATTGAATTCTTTCTTCACTTTATTCTTTCAACGATTTGTGACATTAATTGGGTAGAATTTAGCACAGTTTTATGTCGGATATTTACGTTTTTATCGTCGCAAAAAATTCTTTTGAATCGGTTCTTCTAAAAAATATTGGTTATGAACAGCCTTTGTGCTGTATTTCGTTCATCACTAGGTTCACCATAGTCACTTTTGAGTAACGTCGATGCTTCTGTTCTCTTTGGATGTGCGTGTGAGTCATTTGTCTTCAATCATCAAAAAATTCACATCCACACCCTCAATCGCTACCAATGATTGGGTCAAAAGAAGATATATATGCATTGGTCTTAAAATCATAAGTGGTTATTACAGACATCGTTACATAAATAAAACTCTATGACAAAATATTATTCATCTGCATGCTATCTTCTTTATCAAGAGTACATTTTTAAACTTATGCGAAAACAATCACGCGCTCCATGTTTATTGACGACACTTATCTCTTGGTATCCAAACAAGAAACAAAAAAGAGTGATAAGATGATGCTGGGCGTAGACTTTTCTTTCATGAGGTAAAAGAGCATCGAGCAGATAAACTTTTGCAAACATATCTAGTAGCGCTAACGTTTCAGATTATTTAAGAGCGATGAAGTAGAAAAGCTGCCGTGAATACTCGGAATTAATGCCGAAATGAGCACTGTTCATCCTCAATTTCATAGAGGTGGTATTGAAGTTGATCATAAAATTTTTCTACAGTTTCTCAACAAAATGACGAATCTAAATATGAAGTAAATGATGAATAACAACATTATGACGCAGTCTGTGTCATTACCAATTTGAAAAAAACATCATTAATCTCATGCGTTACACACATTTTGTATCCATACGATTGTCAAACATGCATGTGAAACAATGGATGGAATTCGAGCGAATTAATATTCATGTATTCGCTAGAGTAGTTATCCAAATAAAAAGAAACAAAACTATTATTTCTCTATGAATTACATTTTGCCATGATAATATTTGATTTCAGATTCAACGGAAAATGTTTACGTGTCATACGCCGAAAGTTCAATCATGAGATCTACAAGTGAAACGGTACTCTAACGCATTTTATCTGTGAGATGAATGCCAAGAAAGCAACCGAAGTAGCTATCAAGAATACGTCTGCATCCACAATATCAACGACTGAACAGATATTGTCAAGTTCGTCATGCTATAGAAGCCATCAGAATCAGAAATTAGTCGAAACTGAATTGGTTCGTGAGAAGTTGTACATACAATTATTAAATTCCATCAAGTCGTGGCTTTCTAATGACCGAGTTTATCTGGAACGGTCTAAGAAGCGAATATCACATCTTCTACTGCGTTATTTATTCATAAAGAAAGCCAACCTTTCTCGTCCAATGCCTGATCCAGTATTTGCCATCGGTACATGTCCTATTGCGAGACGACAGCTCTGTCATGATCTTGAATGTCTACAAGTGACCACCGCTACTCAACTGGTTGAGTTTATCGATCATCAACTTGTTCTTGCTGCACTTGAAGTGCGTACAGCAAATATTGGCATCGATGCACCCGTGGTACTCCTATCGAATACCGACGACAAACTTGTCTATCGAAGTCGAGTGCAAAAAGACTTTTCACGATTAGCCCGACGCTTTGGACCCGACTACTACAATCCTGCATATGCACTAGGACTACGCTACAAGTACATGCATTTATCGGGTCATGGACTAGCGCGAGCTTACGAAAACGAAACAAAACTGAGTCCAAGTTATCCATTCATATGTGAATGTTTCGCTTCTGCTTTCAATCACTATTTTGATCGATACCATTCTGCTTTTCCGGACCTCGAAGCGTTTTTTGGATCTCGAGGTTGTTTTTTTAGAGGCACATGGGAAGCAGAACCGCCCGGTATGACTTACTATGTATGCCCGCCGTTTGATGAAACTCTAATGCAATTGTGTGTAGATCGCGTTTTTCACATATTGCAGAATCACTTGGTTTCACGAGCTCATTTTATTTTCACTCTGCCTGGAAGTTGGACAGATTTCAAAGCTCTTGAACAACTGAAAGAAAGTCCGTGGACGATACGGATCACCGATTATCCAATAGGTCAGTTACCTTTTATTGACTATATGGCTGAAAAAGAGCATCGGATTAAATATCCGACTGATATTTGTGAAGTCGTTCTAACAAATTGCAATTCTTAATGTTTCCTTAATATTTAAATCGTTTGAATGATCGATCTTTAAAGAAATTGTCCAACAATGTTTTAGAGCATTTTCGCACATAGTATGAAAATGTCGGTCACAGTAATGGAAGAAAATCAAATGTATTTTCGAAGGAATTTGCGTGTCTGTATCATATGAGAATTCAATAATTTTGAGTTTGACTGCGAAAGGTTTGTTCAGGAGATAGGTATTTTTACAATTCTGTGAACGGTCTGATCACTAAGTTAAGTTCTTAAATCAGAGAGACGCTGCCAAAAATACATGAAGAGAAGATGTGTATCACCTGCAAACATAATGAATGGTCGCGTCATATCCATGCCACATAAGTAATTGTTTTCATGTTGACCTATTCGGTATAGCGCGTTAATAATAGGGTGACTTTTGGACTGATCCGCTATCATCATAAGTTAGCGGAGATCTTTTCGACTTGTGAAAGCCTTTCGTTTATGATCAGCATGTGAAAGTTTAGGATAGCGTTCTTTCAATCTAGATCGTGTTCTGGAGCACAGAAGCATCTAATGAAACGTCAAAATATTGAAATTGACAACAGCAGTTTTTACATTATTTAGTGTGAAAGGTTTTCTATAGCATCTCAAATCTGAAATAGACAAGGTGTGATCAAATAGTCTGCTGAGAAAAATTCCCGTTTCGTTCATATCTACTTGCGTGTATGATACTCATCTCTGTAAATCAGAATGATCTCTATGATGAGAGTGAATGTGAAATCAAGATCACTTGCGCTTTTTCAAAGATGTATGGCTGATAGAGTCGATCTTTCGGTAACAGTCAAGAATGTCCTTTCGAAAATGTCCTTGGACGAAATGTCCTTTATTTTTTTCGTTCTTACATATATATGTATGTGAGAGGACGAAAAAATAAAGGACATTTCGTCCGAGGACATTTTCGAAAGGACATTCTTGACTGTATTCGATCTTTCTTAACTGAATTGTCATCGTTACAAATTTTTCGAGGAACTCAATAAAAATGGTAACATATAAAGCATCACATTGTCAAAGATAGAATCAATTTGATTTCTGTTAAAAGGCATCTACAGCACTAGAATATCGAGCTATCAGCTAAACCTCAATAGTGAAGCAACGTGAGTACTCGAATATATATACTTCTTTGCCTGCATATACTAACATTCGTTCTAGATTCTTGAAAAAGCTGCAAAATTTAATTTATTTTATTAGCTGTTTGTTACCACATCCCATGGCAATTAGTAGGCATTGTCAGTTTTAAGTTTTGATATTGAATAGATAGAGAACAAGTAAAAAATAGTAGATAATGCCATATTACGAATAGTTTTGCAATAATGAAAGAAAGAAGAAGCTAAAAAACACATTTTGTAGACAATTCTTGTCTTAAATTGTAATTCAGTTTATATGATTTCGTTTGTTTCACACGAATCTCACCAACATATAGTGGCGAGTATGCAACGTGTTAAGTCATTCATTTGTATAAAATCGTAATGCGACATAATTTGATGATGTACGGTACGACCTAGCTTTTCCAAATAGTTGAGTGATTGCAAATTCAGTTTCCGCAAGTTGTTTCTTGCCTATTTGTCTGTACATTCATATCCATTGGCTGAATCGAACTTTAATAGTTGGAAAGAAAAGAGAGCTGATTGCTTGGGCATCGACCGAAACTTAATTATGGTTAAAGAGGCAAATAATTAAAACGAAAATGCAGTAGTAATATATTATATTCATGTCAAATTATATGACATGTAGAATTTTCGACCAGTGTCTGTTGGAACCAGCTCGTAAAATCGGTCATCATCAGTACATTCATATCAAACAACAAAACAGGACAAATAAATGACTAAATCATTAATAATACCATAAACAAATCCGAAATAATAAATTCAAGTNCTCACGTAAGTTTCTCATCAATGAAGAAAAAGATGTTTTTCTAATTCCTATCTACTGTAAATAATGAAAATTGAAGTTTTTTTTTCTTTTCAAAATACTGTTTCATTTGATATTAATATTGATCTAAATAAAAAGAAAATAATTAGTTTTTATATTTTAATACATAGATTTAAAGTTTATTACAAATATCACCGAATAATCATTCCTATCGACACAATCAATACTTTATAAAGATTTATTCGGATATGCAAAAAAATCGCGAAAAATGATCGAAACTGAGACAATTTCGAAGATATGTTTGGTACTACAAATTAGTTTTTTTCATTTTCAAAATAATCAAAAAATGCAAGTTTGATATTTGACGATATTTACTGAACACTTTGTTCACTTTATTCTTTCAACAATTTATGATATCACTTTCGTAGAATTCTTCACAGTTTTATGTCATACATTTCGGTCCTTCTGAATCACATGAACATCTATTTTCAATAAGTACTATAGAAAATATTGGTCGTGAACATTCTTTGTGCTGTATCTCGTTCATCATTAAATTCAGTATAATAACTTTCGAGTAACATCAATTCTTCAGTTCTTTTTGCTATGTCTATCATTCTTACAGGTCGTTGAGTAATATCTTTCATTTCTAGGTTACGGTGAAAAAAAAAACATCATGATTTCGTGGTAATCTTTGAACTATAATCCATCTATCAGAGCATAATGATTTTCGCAATCTATAAAGTGATCAAGGAAGTTCTAGCCGTCTTCATTCAACTTGTCCTTTCAAGAGAACAAATGTATTTTGTATCGAGCACACCCAGAGGAACTCGCGTGTGAGAAGAACAAAAGAAAAACGGAATGCGCGTGTGAATTGGGCTGTCAATTCATCAACGTTCACACTTCCAACTGATGAATTTCAGGCAGTTCTCTGATGGCTGCAATAACGATGGAATGATACAATATGAGTATGGGAGGATTTCATTTAATATCCTTCTCGTTAAATATTTTCCTGTTGACAACTCATTATGTGCATTACTAAAAACTTCTTGAAGAAGCGCTTAGCAGGATTGAAACGCGTTCGTATTGCTACATTTTCATTTTAAAGTGAAGCACTTAAGATATAATGCTAGTTTGTATTTTATTATTGAAAAATCATATCCCTGTTCACTCCTTTATCACACAGAATAGGCATTATTCAATATTATCTCTTCGATTATTTTTTGTCGTCTAGATTCATCATGATAAATTGTTCTTGTTTCAAGATATTCACATATTTGTTATTAAAATCTTATTCTACGTTTTTCGTCATTATCTAGATACTTTGAGAATAAAAACAGTCCAACCCAAATCAGTTTCAGTGACAGACAAATATTGTTGATCAAAAATAGGGCAAACACTTGCAAATGTCCCTGTTTCACCAATAACAACAGCCCACTCTCCTCCATAAGTTGCATTGAGCCAGTTACGAAGGTCTGCGCAGATTTGATAACGTTTTGATGATCCATATGTATCAATTAAAGTACGTAACGTGCTCAACATATTTATTCTCATAGTATCTGTGATTCCTGCTTGCTGTGTTTCCACTACCCATTTTACCATTGTAATTGTTGTAGACAATATAAATCTAAAATGATCCTGTTTTAACTAGATTTACAACATATTATCATTCTTCAGAACAGAAATGAACAAAGAACAACGTCATAAGTGAACATTACTATGGATAGTTAAAAATTCCATCAGCAAATTATTGATTCTGAAGGATCTTTAAAAATGTCTAACCTGTCTAACTGATAATTAACTTTTGATACTTTGGACTGCTAAATAAAAAGCTTACAACACAGTTCTTACGACTTCATGATGTAGAACATGATCGAGCTAATTCGTATGTACACGAGAAACAGAAACGGAACTGCCTGTAGCCATGAGTTGTTTATAAAAGAGTGGAGGTAATTCACTTTTGTTGCTCTGTCATTCAACACTTATGAACAACTGTGTTTTGCAAATTATGCTGAGGATTGAATCAGAGAAACTTGAAAAAAATCTCGAATTGGTATTAAAATATCTTTACTATTAGTGTAAGAGATCCATATCAACTTAGATTATCAGAACAGTTAGGCCAATTGATGACCACATTAACTAAGCTATCAGGGAGTTTTATTGAAGAGAATTGAACTGTGAAATAGTAAAAACTCAGATAAAATGGAATACAGTTGACCAGAAGGGTATTTACATGCACTGTGAAACTTTGACACATGTTGTGTCGAGCCTTGGCTTCTTCATTCTCTGTGAATACCCAAAATTTGTCGGCCTTTTGAGAAGCAAAAGACTTGAGAGATCTCTAGTTCATCACCAGCAGTCTGTTTCACTCTTTTTTACTAACTAAAGTAGAAAAATTACTAATCAATAAACATTGTAAAATAAATATTACTGTATTTATTAGTAGACAAGCTATTTTTCCAGTTTCCAATGCTAACATTTGCTAACAATGGTTCACTTTCAATTCTACAGTGGTTTAAGAAATTCGTGAGTTATCGTTTTCAAAATCTTTTAAACTGCTCGAAGTAGTAATTCGTATTTAAAATAAAAGTGAAAAAATACTAAACAATATGATTTCGCTAACACACACTACTGTTTATTTGTTCTTTAGTACTTTTATGTAGTCCTCAGCAGTACTCATTCCTTTCATAGTATTCTCTCTTCTTATTATGCATCAGTAGTTATTGCTTCATGATATTTTGTGTTGCTAACCGTCTGCCTTATCCTTGAGAGAGATCTTTGTTTTCGTTGTTGAAGTAGATGTGACTTTCGGTTAGTGAGAATGTAAGAAGGACTGGTATATAAAAGTACGATTTACTCGAGAGACGAAAGGAAAATAGTATGATGTATTTGGACTTTAAAAATTAAGGTGTAATGAATGAATCAGAATAAATAGTGGTTTCGCTATATAGTTCGTTTCTCGACCAACTTTCCTCTATTATAATTGACCTTTTTTTCCAAAAGATTCCTTATCAAGTTCGCACAGAACGGTTTGGTGCAGTCAATAAATACTGTTTCTTTTGCCTTCGAAACAAAACAGAATTGAAAAATAAGATTGCGCAAACCTTCCAAAATCTTCATTGTTTTCGACTTTTTGAATCCTTTTTTATGAATCACGATTGATCATGAGTTTTTACTTAATCATTCCCTCCACAGAATAGAACCACAGTCTCCAGATTACGGTGTGAGTACGAATGGATATGGGGTGTGGCTGCAAATGCGGATGTTCTTCTTTTCCTAATCAACATCCATAACCACATTGACCCACCCACGCCCACATAGAAATTAGAGTATCTGATAGCAAGAAACTGAAAAAGTGCAGGAGTCAATTTTTAGCTCGTCGATAACTATCAAAGCTCGTATCGAAGTATTCAGACTGTTTGAAAACTTCAGTTTATCAGATTTTGTGCATTTCTGTGCTTGTAGGTGAATCAAATCGTGCCTACAACAGGAAAAAAAGGTTGATCGCAGTAAAATGCCACCTCCAAATTTTTGGCTTGCGGAGCAAATTAGAAACTAGTAGGCTACTATTCTGTGGGAATCGGAGCTTTTACGTGTCTATGGTCATGCGGGATGTATGCGTCGTACTGCAAAATGTTACTATACAAGACTACTGTATTTCACACGAGAGTAGTGTTGCTATATTTTGTTTGGAGTGCGCAACTCTTACTTACCGTTGAATAGAGCGCGGGAAAGTCAATATATTGTCGTGCGCTTCACTTGTGCGCGTTCTTTTTGTAGACTAGGCGACGAATAGATGCTTCGTATGTGTGAAAAAAACAGCAATTTCTTTATGTGCAGACTCCTTCTTCGTCATGATTGCAGAAGGAAGAAAGAGAACATGAAGCTTATGACAACACACCATTATTTTTCTCTCACGAGTTTCTTTATCAGCATTGAAGTTTATAGCTGTAAAGACAACTAACATCCAATTCATGCGCATGCAGGTCGTTTTGAGGATGAATGTGAATGTAAGTGATTAAATAGGTAAGAATGTAAGCAGTTGAATGGAAGTGGCTCTTATCTTTAGCAACATTTAAACCTAACCATCCAGTCTAGCCTGGTCCTGACCTTGATTCATCCATCCAACCCACACTCCAATAAAAACGTCAGTATTTTACATTGAAACCGACAATAATCAATGTTCCTACACAAACACTAACAACATTTGATCAGATCGAGATTTCATCATCGAATTCTTCGTGTTTACTGAATCTCGATTTTTTACATATGACAAGTTGACGATCGATTCGTGTCGAATGTGGATGTGCAATGCTACAACCGGTAGACTTTTTTCTTACTGGCACCAGTCTAAACCGGTCAGAATAGACTTGACCGATTAGTAGATTGGCATAAGTCATTTTTCACTTTTATCATCCCGCTAGAGAGAAAGTAACTAGGATGTTGGTGGGGTGCTACTCCTCTTCATTTTGTCGCAGATACTGATTCCGACACTCACATCCTTTAGATTTATGGTTATCACTGTTAATTATACAGTAGTATGATCATTTGTTACTCAAGTATGTTTAATTTAATCCTTAAGGCCATAAATATTGAGTTTTAGAGTCATAAATGTATAGGGTATATGAAGAAAGTAAATTTCTGCTAGTTGGATATCTCTCGATCGTGAATATTCGTGAGTCATGCAATCCTCTAAAAATATTATCTACAAGTAGACTTGATTTTAAAGCAAGAAAGATCGAAGAACACAACGCTGGTGAAGATGATTCATTTGACAAGGGATCTTCTCTCTTCTCTAAAATGTATCATTTCTTATTTGGTAAAGAGAAATTTGTAAACGAAACTCTAATTTCCTAAATTGTTCATTTCCTAAATGATCATCAATCAACGATGAGGTTCATAGTCCTTGATTGAATCTTCAAAGCACGATGAAAACATTGATGAACAGAACGATTGAAAATGTTTCAAGAAGAGTTTTCCTCATTCATTGATTATGTCATATTAAATACGTTACAATCGCTGTGCACAGTTCAATTCAAAATAAATGCAACAAAACGAAACAAGCTTTCATAAGTATTATTCATATGACATGTGATGTTGTATTAGCATAGGATCTTGAAGTATTTGTTTTCAATTGGCGAAAGATGAATAACCATGACATTGATTATTTTTGTTTAATTGTCATGTAATATAGAGCCATCCAGCTAAAGACAACATTTCGCTTCAAAAATGACTATTATTGATGAACGAATGGTTGATGCAACATGTTGTTGCAGATTATCCATCAACAACATCATGAACTATCTATCACTAGGCATGGAATGAAGTCGAATCTCTCGGACTTATGTGTTCTAAACTCGGCTCTGATTGTGAACGTGTAGTTTTGAATTTGACGACACGCAACTCACACAATTTTTAAATGTATGCCTGTTTTCTGTTCCTGTTTGACCTTATGAGTAGACTATCCCAAGTGACATCTGCTGTTTAAGCTCATATTGGATCCACGCACATATTTCAGCAAGAATAGCAAAAGCCGAAAAAGGGTTCGTCCCCGCTGGTCTTCGGCGTTGAGTTACAAGGGCTCTACTAGATTTTTCTTTCATTTTTTTTAAGTATTCCCGGAAACACCAAATAAGAGAGACTTGATTTAGAGTTTCACCTACAGATGGATATAAAGGCTCCTAGAATATTTTGAAAGTTTCAACCGAAGAGGAAGTATGTTCAGATTTTAAAAAAAAAGGAAATTATCGTAATTTCCAACATACAATGGAGAAATGAGTGCAATTACTTGGAAATTACGAAGAAAATTTCACTAATTGCAGAAATTACTAGAATAATATTAGTATTCGTAAGGTTGACAGATATAAATGGGAAAATCCAGTCACATTGGACATGTGAAGAAATTTTAGTAATTACGAAAATTTTCATAATAAGCGTTCTTACTGGAACTACCAAAATTTCTGTACATGTCGGGATGAACTTCTCTCAACTATCAATATGAATCAAGTACTTTTCGAAATTACCGTCATTTTCTTGGTAATTTCTATTTGTTTTACGAAATTACCGTTGAAATTTCTTAGAATATTTCATAATTTCTGCTTCATTTTTTTATAAATTTATTTGGTAATTACCACCATTATCTTTATCTAAAATCTAGCAAGTGCTGCTTGAACATTTCTGATGAATTGGTTACACTTAAACCCTAAAAGACAAAAATATAATTATCGCCTTTATAATGTAGATTACATAAAAATGCTTCTTGAGAAAGCTTCAAAACTTTTATTCCATTGCATGCAATAAGAATGACTAAGTGATATCTTTCTTAGATACTTTCTTCACTTGAACATCGAGAAGCAGAGCCAACAGTACAACTGCGAGTATCAAAAATTTCTGCATGTTATACTAGAAAAACACAGGTAAAGAATAGCTGTGCCTGACGAGTAAATGGTTCGAAAAGCCATCAAAGAATATTGATATCTTTATCACAGTACTTCGGGCAGAGAGGGAATAGGTCAAAGTTTGTTAGAATAGGGTAAGGTTACTGTGCAGAACTCTGTTGTAAACAATACATCAATGAATATGATTCTTTGAAATAGAGTCAT